GAATTGCACCTGCACTTCAACTGGGGGCCAGTGCAGCTGGAAGAGGACTGGCATAATTTGTTCTCATGAGTCATTCCCCATCAATGGTCTTGCTGCCCTGTTTTGGGTCAGTTGGACCATTTCCAAAGGCTGACCCATGTACTTGTTTGCATTGGAGTAATGCAAACAAGAGGTCACCGGAGCATAGATAACTAGCTCGGCTCTCTCTGTCTGGGTAGGGTTGTAGTTGGTATATCAACTTTAGCTGATGAAGGGTGCTCTGTGCCACTGAGTCTACTTGTGCCTCAAGTGACAGCTATGAATCCAGAAATACCTCCAAACTATGAACCCCCTAACCTTGTCCTTTAGGGGAAGTGCAACCCCATCCAGAACAGGTTGAATCTCACCCAGCTGGACAGGTGAGCCACCCACTAGCAGCACCTCTGTCTTGTCTGGATTGAGTCTCAGTTTGGCCCTCATCCAATCTATCACCGTGCTCAGACCATGGTGGGCAGCTACTGCCTCACCTGGTTTTGATGAAAAAGAGAGGTCGAGCTGAGTGCTATCTGCATATTGGTGGTACCTCATCCCATGCCTCATCCAGGAGTTTCACTTAGATGTTAAATAGCATCGTTGCCACCACTCACTTGCTCAACAGCTAGTGAACAAGGAGGCAGCTGCATCCACTGCTGGTCCTGACCACCACCATTATCCAGGCCCAAGGGAGAGATGACAGGAGAACAGGTTGCAGTGGTAAAGAGAAGCAACTCACTTGGGGCCCTGCCAAGGTGTGGGGCTTCACCAAGTGTCCAGCTATGTCTACCGTTGGATATAGCCTCTGCTGGAAACCATGCTACAGCCTTGTCTGTTTTGGTGTTGGTACACTCATCCTTTTTATGTGTGTAGAGCCTCTAAGAAGGGATTGAGAAAGGGCAGGAACTCTGCTCTGCAGCATATGCTTTCTCTGCTGATCAGATGCAGCACGCTTCTGACAATCACAGGAAACCACACATGGGAACAGCCTCCTGTCTTCAGGCCCCCCTCTTGGCCTTCCCAGAGGCATCAAATTTGCCACTGTGCGATGCTGGATTAGATAGTCCTTTGATTCCATGCAGCAGGCTGTTCAGTTAATTCATTTGTTCATTTAATTAGTCACTAGTCAAGATCTCAAAGCAGTTTACAATAAATCAAACAAAATAAACACTGAAAACACAACTCCAGGATTTAGCAATCGGGAAATTATTTCATTTCTATACCACCCCATAGACAAAACTCTGCAGCAAAAATAAATCCATTTTTGTAGGTGCCAAAATATCTGTTAGTGCTTTCCAAAGAATGGAACAGAGCACCTTTAGTGCCACCATAGAGTGAGTTTGCTTTCATAGTGCACAATTTACAAGCTGTGGCATGAACCAACCTCCTCCAAAGAGCTAGTGAGTCTTTAAGGATGAAGAAAGTTTTTCAGGTAATCCTAGTTCCAAGTTGTTTAAGATTTTGAACATCAATTCATAAAACCTTGAACATGGCTCAGTAGCAAAGTGGCAGCCAGTCCGGTTCTTTCAATACAGACGTAATCTGTGTTCCCATCCAACACCCTGGCCGCTGCGTTCTGCACTGGCTGCAGCTTCCAAACCAGTCTCAACAGTAGCCCCAAACAGAATGCATGACTGCCATCCAAACATAAGTTTACCCCTGCACGAATCATCATGGCCAAATGATGCTAAAGCAGGAAAGGGTGCACTTCACACACAAACCTCAGCTGCAAAAGTGGAGCAGAGATGCCTGGTGCTTGAATCTGGAGTTCTGATGCAATTATAGCTCTAATAAGATGAATGCTGTGTACTTATTTTTCGTGCAAAGTGCCATTTCATGACAGTCCCTACATGGGTGCTTGAAAAGATGCAGAGAACCCAGTGGCAAACAAGTGAATCTGTGTGATGTGTCCCTTTATTAATACTTAGCACAGGGATGGGCAACTTGGGGTCCTCCAGCTGTCTTAACCTACCACTCCCATCCTCTCTTGCCATCGGCTAGGCTGATGGAAGCTGTGGCCTCCAGTAGTTTTGGTCCACAAGCTGCCCACCTTCAGTCCTATTCGAGTCCCATTGTAACTGAATTTTGTAATGAAGTAGTGGTGAGGAACTTACGGTCCTCCAGATGTTGCTGGACTAAATTTCCATCCTTCCTGACTGCTGGTCTTTCTCACAGGGCACATCTAGAGGATGGCAGGCTCCCCACCCCTGTACTACAACACTGAGCCTCTGTTGTTGTTATGTGCCATCAAGTCACTTATGGTGACCCTCCAAAATGCCCTTCCTGTAAAGCCCTGCTCAGCTTTCGTAAATTCATGGCTGTGGGGCCCATTTCCCCTCTCTGGCTAGTAACAACACTGAAGGTTGTACAGAGCCCAAGCATTGCTGCTTAGCAGGCAGACAATAACGATTAAGAATATATATGTTAAAGAGATCTTAAACCCATTTTTCTTTTCACAGAACAGAGTGAGTTCCCTACCAGGGTAGAAACCAGGATATTCAAGGAAAAAACAGAAAGCTATCCAATTGTCATCAAGCTAATACTTCTGGCTTTTAGCCACACACCAGGCATAGCCTGGATGCTTAATCCTGTGACCTGCATACCAAAATCCTCACATGACTGAGTCACAAGATACACCCCCACCCCTACTGACCACCATGTCTCCCCATTTCCTCTCTATCATGTGTCATTTCTCCAAGTCTCCATTACCAATTACAAAGAGATCAACACTGTGGCTGGTGTAATTACTGCAGGAGCGCATACTGCATCCATGCAACGGCATCGGCACCGCCCCAACTCCTAGATCTTAATTTAGAAGCCCAAATGCTTTGCTCTGTTCTATACCCGCAGGTTAGGCCAAGAGAAGCTTCTGGCAGATCAGAGGCAGAGAATGCATGACCTCCAGCTGGATTACAACTCCCATTAGCCATAAGCAGGCCGGCCAATGGTGAGGACTGACTGGAGCTGGAGGACCCCACATTCCCCATCCCTCCTGTAGCTCTACTTATGCACTGCATTCACTTCTGAAGGAGTTCGATGACATTTTTCTCCCCCTTTGGAGTTTCAGACATGCAGGACAGGTTTCTGAAACTCTGCAAGGCAATGACACTCCAGCTTTCAATGGCCTGAGATAACCTGCAGGGACAATGTATGCATCAATTGTATGTTTCTTTGAAATGTATCCATTCTTCCCCAAATGATTAAAGCAAGCACATTTGTGTCCATTTTTCAACAGCATGCATGCTGTGGAAAGTATTTTAGGGTGCCCACAAATTTCTGCAAGCTGGGAAATGTAAGAACTGTCCTGCAGATTCTGAGAACCTTTTCAGAAGCTGCAAAATATTGATTGGGATGAGTAAATCCTAATCAAAACAAAATTAAAATGAATTGCTTATGCATCCCTATTAAACACCTCTTGGAGCTGGCAGTAGCTCTCTTGGTGGCTGGACACTGGTCTTGTACAGCACAGGTGCCCAATCTCTTTTATCAGGATGTAGCAGGGTTTGGACATATGGTGCTCTATGTACAATTCAATGTTCTACCACTAAACTATTACCCTCATCCTCGTCTTACTGGATGCTGCAGAGGGATGGGCCCTGCTGGATTCCTGGGCACTTTCCCATCTGCCCGCAGCTTAGTCCCCTGTCCCATCCACTTTATATTATAAATCTCAGCTACATTTTCTTCAGGCAAGGCCCAGGGAGGAGGTCTGGCTTCACCTCACATGAGTGACAGAGGGTCTGTCTGAGTAGGTTCAGGCCAAGTGGGATCAAGCAACAAAACTAACATGATTGAAAAGGAGAAGAAAAGCTCTCTGCCAGGTATCAGAGAGGTAAGCTTCCTGGGAGACCTCCACCATGTGCAGGGCAGCACAACTGAGAATGCCCTCCTTCCAGTCATCCCTGCCTAAGCTCAGCAAGCAGAGGGCTGACTCAGATGCTGAATATAAAGCTGAGGTGGGCAGAATATAGACCAAAGTCTACTGGCAGGTCTCTGTGTGATTTGCAGAGGATCAATGGGGATTTCCAAGTCCAAAGAGTTTCACAATAGCACCAACCAAGTGACTTTCCCTATCAAAACTGGCCTGCAGGATGCTTGGGGTTCCCAGGAGTGCATTGTGTACGAAAGGCTGCGAGCTCAGGACAGTTCTGGTGCTGAAAATGAATTCCTAAGTTCAGAGGCACCCATCCCTGAGTAACTTTTGCCCTCAGCCTTGGCTGGAATATCATATTAGTAAAAAAGTAGATACCACAAGCCTGATGTCCTCCCATATCTTGGCACAAACTTTCTGTTGAAGGTAACTGTCCTTGGGGTTTTAAAATAGTTTGAGTTGTGCTCAGAAACAGATCAGAGACAAGGCTATGCCAGTGTCCATTGTTCAAAGGAAAAAAATCAGCCCCAGAAATTCTACTGGGTAGGTGCAAAGCCATGGCCATATCTAAAGAAGCTCTTGGGTCCTGGCTATGCTTTGACAGTCAGTGGAGAGTATCGGGCTTTGAACTGGCAAACTGCACTTCCATCCCATCTCTGCCAGGGACATGCAACCTGTTACCCCAAATAAAGCCACTATATCTCAGGTGGTTTCCAGTTGAGGTTTTTACCATGCAATCGTTGTGCCTCATTCAAGGAATGTAATGGGCGATTCAGATGACATTGTCCTTCAGGTGACCTTTCTAGGTTTTATCACCTTCAGCCTTTTTTCTTTCAACCAAAATAATTAAAAAATAGTTCAGGAGCAAAACGGGATCACTGCCTAGCTTCTGCCTTTTTTGATTGGCAGTGCTAGAGGTTCCTTCTGCAAACACTCATGGTTCCCACCTCTGAATGGGAATGGAAGTAGTCCCATATATTCCTTATGAGGTAAAATGGAACCAAGGGCAGCAAAGCCCTCTCTCATTAGTGCCATCCAAATAACAGTAGTTGGTATGTTCTACCTTCTGCTCCCAGCAGGTACCAGAAGGATCCATTAAAAACAAAAGCACACACAATTTCAGTATTAAAAGGCATTTATAAATACAAACAAACAATGTGACTGAAGGGAAAGAATGGACAGCCTTTCTCAGCCTGTGCCAGGTTTCCCAACTTGGAGCCCTGCAGATGTTTTGGGCTTCAACTCTCATCAGCCCGAACCAGCTTAGCCAGTGGTCAGGAATGCTGGGAATTAAAGGCAAGGTATCTAGAGGACACCAGGTTGGGGAAGACTGGTTGATGCAGTCACCTACCTGAACAGGGAAGCAGGATCTGAGCATCTATAGCACCAGACCTGCAGGAGAGGATGGGCTGGGAATGCATGAGCTGGCACTCTGGATGTGAGAGTAAGACTATAAATGGGTCCCTAAACACAGGCTGCATCGATTAAATTTGGGGTGAGTGCAAGGCTGACCCTTGCTCATCCCCACATTCCAGTGGGCAAGGAGGGGGAGGGTTAAACCTCCCCTTCCTGCCTGAGATAGTATTGCAGGGGGGCTCAAGCCTCCTCTACCCCCTTCAGCAATCCTCTCTAAGGCCGCAGGTCACAGGCAGCCCACTCCCAGATTAAATGGATCTGCCTGTCATCCATAGGTGGGAAAATGTGCACCAGCCCCCACTGTTTCTACTTCCCATGTGGAGTGGGTGTGTTACACAGCAAGGGACACAAGTTAAGAACAATCACATCAGCTTGGCCCAAAGAGGGTATTAGGCACAACCAAGATTTGTCAGGCCTCTCACCCATCAGCTCCTCGATTAGTCCGGGAAAGCACTGCATCTCCTCCGCAGCGCCCAACAAGTAAACCTTCATTCAGATAAAATGGGCTGTAAGGCAGAGAGCATAACTTGACATTCCTCTGCAGGCTTTACTGCTGTTACCACAGCTTGCCCATCAGTCTTGGAAATGCCTTCCTTTGCCTGTCATTTTCCGACGCTGGGTCTTGCTTGTGCGTCCTGCTCTTGACTTTTGAACTCCCTTTGTTATGGTTTGACTATGTCTTGCGTGCTTTCCTTTTGTCTTTTTCCGGCTACTATGGGAATGCAGTGAAGCAGTGAGTGAAGAGATCCTGGAAATGGGAGAACAAGCATTAAGTTTTAGATACAGGCTTTCTAGTCCTAATGTACTGAATTGTTTAGTCCTGTCTGATGACATTTCTCCCCTCCCCTGCTTGTGCTCCTTCACCCTGTCATGCTCAGCTTCATCTTCTATTGGGAAGACATGTGGTGCAATTCTATTGCTGACATTAAGCAGAGATAGCCCTATAAGCTGCTTGGATGGGGGACCACCTGGGAAGAGGCATAGGTCAGTGGCAGAACACATGGTTTGCATGCAGAAGGCCCTACATTCCTAGCCTCTCCAGGAATCTCAGATGGCAGGACAGACCCCTGCAGGGAATCCTACTTAGCTGAGTGGAGTTTGCTATGAAATAAGTTTGCAAAGGATTGCTCCCTAGAACCATCAATATCTTTTTTTAAGGGAAGAGGTCAGGAACCATCTTTATCATATCGAAGAAAGGACAAAACCAATATGGTCCAAATAACCTGCCCCCCCCGCCCCCCAGGATAACATTAAGCTTCACACAGCCATTTAAACAATAGTAAAATTAAACTGCCCCCTTAAGCACTAGAGAGCAGTGCTAGCACTATGTAATAGACTGCCCCCTTGTGCCACTGTAAAAAAAAGTTTTGCTATAAAGCTATCCTAAGTGTTGGGCCCAAAACAAGATCTAATTTGATGTAAAGGTGTCGTGATCATTTCTCTGTGTGAAGTCAGCCACTCCACCCCATCAATTTGGTGACAGCACCCTAAAAGAGAGATCTGTCCCAGTCAATAGACTAGGAGTGTTTTCCAGATGTTTTGGGCTTCAACTCCCATCGTCCCTGACCACGGGAGTTATAGTCCAAAGCATCTGGAGGGCACTAGGGTGCCTGCTGAGTTACACCCAGAGGCATGCCAAGAATAGTGTTAAGGTTCTTTGCACACTGCAGGTATTCAGCATCTGTTGGCTCTAGACAGGTTTGTGAAATGATCCAAAAGTACAAATGAGGTGTTCTAATTTTTTTTGTTAGATCAAGGAGGGCTAAAGAAATCATACTTACCTCTGAGATAGGAAAGGATCTCTAGATTTCTTAGGCAAGATGCTTGCAGGCTTGCTTGGAGCATCTTTTTCCACTCCAGAATCTTTGCCCTAGAAGAGTAACACAAGCCCACACATCACCACCACACAATGGGAAGCATTAAATAACTTGGTGCAGTTTGCAAACAATTTATCAAAGCTGCAGATGAAAGGAAGTCAATGCTTATTGCACTGCCGCAGGGCCTCTTTGAGAACAAAATCAGATCTAACCACGGAGGCCCCAACCATGTTGAAATGCACTGTGGCAGCTGGAGCCCAACACATCTGGAGAGAGCCAGAGTATCACAGAGGCTAGTTAAATCTTCTGAATACACAGAGTACTACATGAATATATAACAGCTAGGATGGCGTATGGCGAGAGTGTCCAACTAGAGACCAGGGAAGCCTTGGTTCAATCCATACTCAACCATGAAGCACTTTGGGCCAGTCAGTCTTTTGCAGCCTATTCTACAGGATAGTTGCGGAGATCAAAATGTAGTACTGGGAAAACTATACCACTTTAGCCCCCTGGAGAAGCAATTGGACAAATCCACAACAGGCTCCAATGAGGCGTGTTATCAAAGAATTTAAGCTGTGGATTCTGTAGATCAGCTTTATCCAAGATGCATGGATTTCATGAAACTGCAGGCCTTTTTATTTTATGTAATTTACACAAAATTAGTCTAGAAAAAAAAACACAATATGTAAGTCCTCTGACCCAACATGTGTATTTCCTCCATAGACTAAAGTTGAAAATACGTATTTTCAGGTGTGCAAATTTGTGCAACCCCAAATTTGTACAAGTGCATTTTTGCAAAAGATTCCATCAGTGAGTGGACAACAGAACAAAAGGCACTTAGCAATCCACAAAGCACAGATGGAACAGATTTTTAAGCACCCATATGTCCCTAATCCAAACAGTTTTTACAATACATTTTCAAGCAAATCCACTGCTACCGGAATTGCAGTCTGCTTGTTTACTAGCCTGGGTGTCATCTGTCATCTCGGCCCTGATGTTTGCAGGACATCATTCCGTCTTGGCAAAGAAGAATTTGTAAAATGCTGTGTGTTAACTCTGGACTATTCTCCCAAGAAGTGTGTGTGTGTGTGTGTTCTGTCTGTCTGTCGTTCGTTCTTGGACACAACTATCTAAACAACAAAATATTCAAATACATCTCCAGTAAAAATTAGACCTGGGCAAGTATCCATGCATACATGCTGGGAGGGAGGCAGTACCTCATGGGTGTCCAGTCCTAGCAGGTGCTCGCCTGAGAGGTTCAAGTCACTGATCGTAGTAACAGTAACCGTGTGGTTTGGGTGATCATAGCTCACAGATTCCGTCTGGGATGTCACCATTCGCTCTAACTCATCTGCTTCCTCTGAGAAGGTTAAATAATGAACAGACTGAAATTACAAGCAAATTAAGCTGTCCCTGTCACCAATGTTCCAAATGAAAATGATGGTATACAAGAAATTCCTCCACGATCAGACTTCTCAGAAACCCTGCAATTCCTTCATACCAGTTGAGTTAAAAATATGTCTGCTTTTTACTGTAGGTAGATGTTTTTTAATGTTGTGTAGTACTGAAGAACTTTTGACCCTCCAGAGTCGCTGGACTGATGGAATATGGAGTACAAACACACCAGCATGGCTGCAGGTCCCCCATCCCTGATGAATGACATTAGATTGCTCTCCTTAGAAAGCATCCAGCTAGAGAAAAGGCAGTGGGGAGTCAGGCTTCTACTTCCAGTGCACCTGTGTGATGCAGACTATGCCAACCCTCCTGCCCACAATCTAGCCTGTTTACGGACCTTTGCATGCATTTGTCTTTCTAAATATGAAGATGGTAACCTTATCAAGCATACTTCATCAGAAAAAACCCAGACAGGGTATTTTTTCACAACTGTTTGTACTGTGTGTGCTTAAGGCAGCAGCCACAAAGACTTAAAGAAGCCTGCATGAGACAAATGAGGAAAATGTTGACCATAATTCAAGTCCACTTCTCCCATGCCCTCTTGCCTCCCCACCTGATCCTCCACAATTTTAATGGTTATACATTCAAACCAATCCTCACCTAAGGCTTCTTCTCTCTCCTTCAACATATTCATGTACTCCTTGTGCCTCTACAAACAAGGAAAAATAAAGGGGGGGAACAGCCCCAAATAATGAAGTGCTTTCAGATAATCCACTGTTTGTTTGATTTTATTCAAGCCACCATTCAGAAACCAGCCATTCAGAACTAACACGCTGCTGGGTGGTCATCTGTTATTTATTTAAAATATTTCTACCCCGTTCTATACCAAAATCGTCCCAGGATGGCGTACAATACTAAGAACAATAAATAAACAACATGTATAATAGCAAACAAAAACAAAACGTGACTGTAAATATATTAAATCCAAGTTAAAATTCCTCAATCCTTAAAATAATGGGTAAATAAAAAGGTTTTTACCTGGTGCCAAAAAGAATATAAAGTCGGCACCAGGTGAACCTCTCTGAGGAACACATTCCACAGTTGGGATGCCACCGCAGAGAAGGCCCTCCTCCGGGTATGGATCCTCTTTACCTCCTTCAGGGAGGGTTCCCAGAGCAGGGCCTCTCCTATAGATGTAACGGGGTGAGAGGGCATATAGGGAAGGAGATGTTCCTTCAGGTATCCTGGTCCCAAGCCATTTAGGGCTTGTTACACAGACAGGGGCCAGAGTTCAGTTTCTCAGATAGCATTGCACTTCTAGGACATACAGTTTAGGGGTACACTCATCCACCCCAAATGGATGGTACCTCTTCCTTCATCTTCTTTTGCTCTTCTTTCAGTTTGCGTTTTATCTCCTCCACAGCCATTTTCCTCCTTTCCACCTTACGCTTGTGAAACCCTGTCAAGTACTCCCTGAAAGAGTAAGCACATCACAGTAGTTAAAACCAATGCAAGAAAGTCTCTTCACTTCCCCGAGCTGTTATTCCACTGCATTTCTTATGCACATACTACCAATCAGCTGCCGGGCACAGCCCGTGAGGCCAAAACAGATTAAGTATTTGCTTGTATGAACATTCCATGGGGATGCCACATCATATAGGGGCATTTATGTGATGGGCCAATTACCATGGAATGCACTTTTATAGGTCTGGTTTACAGGTGCAGCAAAATTGTCCAGAGTACAGAAAAATAATAAAGGGTAAAATAAATACATAAATTAGGTAAGTAGAGCAGATTATACTACTTTAGACTGCAGGGTGGTGGTGGCGGCAGGAAGAGATGCAATTTCTGAATGCGCTCCTCATTAAGAGGAAAAAAAAAAACAATATCAGCAGAAGCCCTGCACATCGAGCAGTTGTTTCAGGGAGACTTTGGACAAGGTGCTCTCTGTGAGCCTCCTTTCTGAGTGAGCTAGCTAGCTCCTTGTCAGTGTCTCTGCTGCCCATTTTCTTCCCCAGACCCGTTTTGTCCAAGGACTTGTAGAAGTGTGTGTGTGGAGTGGGGGGCAGTCAGCATGAGACAGGGTCCCTTTCTCGGCTTGCATACTCAGAGAGAGCAGATAAAGAGGACGAAACCGTAGGCCCAAGAGCAACCGGAGGTTGGCAGTGGGGCCCTGCAAGATGTGGGCGAGCGAGGGCAGGAACCCAACTTCACACATTCCTAAGACCTACAGAGCCATTTCAGTAAGACTCCTGGGCAGGTTTTCTGCGCGGAGTTTTTAAAAACAGAACATGCAAACATGAACGTTTCGCCTAATTCTGCACTGATACCAATCCATCCCGACTCCATAGCGGTACAGTCCATTCCACCCCTTCAGAATTTCACTCGTGCTGCGCGTGTGGATTAGGCCCAAGGAAAGCGCTGCGTGCACGGAACTTTTATAGGGGCAAGCTCTTCCCCTTCGGTGGCGGGAGAAACGGCATCCGCTGCAGCCTTCGGCCATCTCCTAATGCCAAAATCTGACGGCAAAATAAGCCTCTGTCCACGTGGGAAGCTTCTCTGGCCGCAACACTCCGCGAGAGGGAAGCACGGCTGCACTTGCCGGCCACAGGGAGAACAAGCGGCTTGCTCGACCAGGCCCTCTTCGCCGCGTACTCACCGCCGACTCTCTTCATCGAAAGTCACAACCCTTCGGAGCCGCCGCTGCTGCTGCAGCTGCTTGTTCTTCTTGCGGCCCATGCCGAACTCCGCGAAACAAGCCGCGCTTCTTCCGGCTCGGCCGAGCGAGCGGCCAGCAAGCCCCGCGTCCCGGCGCCGCCCGAACACCGCCCCTTCCTTTCTGCCGGTTCCTCCCACCTCCGAGCACCGCCCCTGCCGCCCATACGAGTCGCTGCTGTATAGGAGCCGTTTGGCTCTACTTTTCGCTTCGGGTTTTAATGCAGTAATCAAGGACGCAGCTTTATGCACGTTCATACAGGGGGAAAAAGCTATGACTGACTGGTTGACTGCTGCAGTTTATGGGACTTTTTCTGTATCGGAACCTATTATTTATTGATTGATTGTATCTATATCCGTCCTTTTTAAACATCTTACATACTCCTCTTTCTCTCCATTTTATCCTCACAACAACCCTGTGAGGTTGGTTAGGCTGAGTTTCATGCTGAGTGGAAACATGCAAGCAGATCTCTTGATTCCCAAGGCAAACTTTAACCACAGCACCACATTGGCTATCATAGGGTGCCCTCTTGATTATTATTAGATGCCCCTTCTTGTACTATAGGTGGTTCTGATTCTCTAAAGAACTTGAAATAGGGCCACACATTTCAGAAGTCATGCATGGGCAATACTTACATTAGGATCAACTCCAATGTAGCATGACGGGAAGCAGCAGGCACTTGTGTGGGAGCCTGTATCATGTGGAAATATGCAGCTTGATTTTATAGATTTACTCTGGAGTAAGTCTCAGTTTATTATTATTATTTTATTAAAACATTTTAAATCAGTTAACAGAATTGCAGTGCTCAAATTAGACAAAAAATGCCAATAGAAAGCAGCTGCATTGCTGTGTGTATTACAGCAATGCAACAATCAATAAAAATGTGCAAGTTTTTAATTGCTCCAGATCTTTTTGTCAGGCAAGATTTTTAGGCATAAGAACAGCCAGGTTCCATCTGCATCATAGCATTGCATCATAAATCCTAGCATTGCATCATAAAGAGGCCAATCAACTGGTTGGAAGAAATCCCTCCAGTAGGATTTAACTATGTTAGCACCCTCCTGCTTATGTTCCTAAGCAGTTGGTGCCCATAGGCCTACTGCATCTGACACTGGAGGTAGCATATGGTCATCAGGACTAGTAGTCATTAATAGTCTTCTCTTCCACAATCCCCTATTAAAGCTGTCTAAATTGGTGGCTATCACCCCATCTTGTGGAAGTGAATTCCATAGTTTAACTATGTGCTATGGGGATAAGTCCCTCCTTTTACCTGTCCTGAGTGTTCTACCAAGCAGCTTCATGAAATGACTTTGGGTTCTACTATTAAGAGAAAGGGGTTGCTTCGCCTTAATCATCTCTAGGCTAAACATACCCTACTCTTTCAGCTACTCTTTGTTTCCAGACCACAGCCTATCCCCCCAAAAAGCAGGTGGTAAGGTACATACTTACTGTAACATCTTACATGTTGAAGGAATTTGGAGACCATTGAAAGCTTACACTTTGTGATTTTTCAGATGGCTGAAGGTGCTCTCCTATGCACATTTTGATAAAGGGTTGGAAAGGGTGGGGGAAGGCAGCTGGGCTGCCAGTAGGTAAATGGCTCCAGCCTCCTTCCCTGCCCGCTCTTTTCCTCCTCTTCAAAGCCCATTTGCACTTTCTGAGAGGCATCTGGTACAGCCCTTTCCATGCTGGCTGCACAGGCAGCAGAATGGGAGCTTGGTCATCAAAGCCCCAGCATTGAGGTCAGTCAGAGGACCTTGGAGCTGGGACTCTGCATAATCCCATGGAACCCAGACAGTTTCGAGAGGCCATAGGATTATGTCCTGAAAGGTTTCTTTTCTTTTTTTAATGTCACTTCCAAAGCAGAGAACAGAAAACTGTAAATGAGGAGGAAGGAAGAAAATGTGTTAAAGTAAAACATATCCGCCACTTAAAACTATTTTTCCATTTTGCCAACTTTTTTATATGAACTGTAAATAAACCAATGGAATAATGATTATAAATAGCTGCATTAAAGAGGAAGGAAAAGGGATGGAGCTGTCATATATATTTGGTGCTGCTGCCTTTACTGCAGGTATACATTGCTTACATTAGCTCACAATGCAAAGTTAAGCATTAAAAACTATTTAGGAAGAAAATGGTATATGGGAACCACTTCATGATGATGGCATTCAGGATCACCTGAGCTCTTAACTGACATGCAGAGGGATGTCTGGCTGAGAGACTCAAGTGGCAATTGGAAAGCTATTTCATCTTTTTTAGACAGAAATAGACCTACAACTCCCAGCATGCCACAGCCAGACACAAGAACCACATTCCCTTAATAATGTGCCTTAATAATGTCCCTTAAAAGACACAATTAATTAATGTCCCTTAATAGCCACAAGGTTCCTTTAGTGTTAGAATCATCTGCATTTCCAGAAAAGGTCCACATTTCTTCAGAAGCAGGCTGTACAGTGGGTAAGCATGCCTAAGACTGCAGATTAAATTTAAAAAGTGACATGTAGAACAATGATTTTCAATGGTTTGGGGATTACAGAGGTGTTGCATTGAGATGATAGAGAGTTCAATGCAAACAAATGTTCACGGTCTCTTCCTTATGAGATTTTTTTGAAATGTGAACAATGCCAGCACCAAAGGGCTGTTTGCATAGGCAGCTTATTATGAGTGTTTCAATTAATTTTATCGAACGGGTGCATAGTGTTGCATGTTGGTGATTGTAATGGAGCGCTCTGGGCTGGGCCGTGTTTATCACTTCTGCTCTCCTCCTTCTAGTTCTCGTCCTTTAGCCTTATATATGACATGTGGAAAAACCGGTTCTGTGGTTAATAGCTGTACTTCCCTTTACACCCACAAGCTTGCCCTCCTTCCCTGCAGCCTCCGCTGCTTGTTGTCTGAGCCTATTTCACCTCCACACAGGCCTTGCCTTGCCTTGCCTTGCCTTGCCTGCCTTGCCTTGCAGCAGCCCTTCTGCTATTAGCTGCCTCACACAGAGGCAGCTTCTGATGATCTCTGCAGGTCTCCCTCCCGCCTTCTTTCTCCAGAGGAAATTCTTCGCCCTCGTTATCCTCATCCGGGCTAATTCTATCTCCTGTGCAAGGTACTGGATGTAGATTCAGAGGAAGCCACTCCTGTTCCACCTGGAGGGTTCCAAAGCAGTCAGAGGCCATGGCTGCCGAAGATAACAGCATTGCAAACCTTCTCCAAGAAGTGCAGAGGAGAGAAGAAAATGCCTCTTGTGCAGATTGTGGCGGACCAGGTAAATCTGTCTGGGAGGTGAAAGAAGAACAGAGATGGAGCAGAAAGAGAGGTGGGGGTAGCATTTATGTAGGAAAAGAATAAACATCCTGGAGGCAGTGAAGGCTGGGGCGAAATTAGCTCCTGCTCTTGGGAGAAGGCCGAGGGCTGCAGGCATCACGTGCTTTTATCTAGCTTGGTTTTGGGACATGGGGTGGGTAGGCCAGATTCAGTCATGTGCTGGTTTGTGTGTAGACTTTAAACCAAGATAAAGAGGCTCATTCATTCAATCTGCAGCCTCCAGTTGAGATGAGGTCTGACTAAGCTGCAGAGCTCATGGCTGTAACATGTGACCACCTTTTAAATATATTATTTATTTATTTAAAGTAGTATTACATGGCCCCTCACTTAATAATAATAATAATAATAATAATAATAATAATAATAATAATAAAGTTTTCCAGAGTAGGCACGCAAGGAAAAAGAGAAGGTGAGGGAATAGACTTTGGAGGATTTTCTGTTTCTTCTCCCTTCACCCGGTTTTTGTAGCACTTAACTGACAAAGAGTTCTAGAGAACTGAAAAGTTTGGTCCTGATAAATGTTTTCTCCAGCTGTGGATTGTGTACATACTTCATGTTTTAAAACATTTCAGCTGCTGTCTGTGCTGTAACTAGATCATTTTAGACCCAAGACTGAATGATCCCTAACACTGGAATTACTATGCAAGGCACTGAAGTCATCCATAACCTTTCACCCTGGCACAGCTTCTCACATTCCACTTTGACAGCCCAATTCTTCTTTTTTCCTAAGGCCTGCATGGGAGAATCAAACGAGTGATTAAGATCTTATGGCTCATGTATAAGCCTCTATCTTGTAAAGTAATAGGGTTCATCTCTGCTACTGCTGCCCTGTAAATCTTGGGCAAGACTCTCAGTATGTACTGGTGTTCAAGCTTTTTTTAAAAAAAAATCATGCAATTGCCCCATGATTTTTTAAATCATGCAAATGTGCAGGCCCTTCAGCAAGACACCACCAGTGTCCCCCGCTCTGTGATTCTCTCTTCTCCCCACCATTGTCACTAGCTGCTCTTGTTCTTCCCCCTTTTCTCTTCTGTTCTTCTAGGCTTCTTTTTTCCCCCTTTTGCTACCAGAATGGTCTTTTTTTGCATCCTTCTCTAATAACGTCTATAGTTTTAGCCCACAGGTGTTCTAGTTCACAGTCAATAGAGTTGTTCTCTTTGCGGGCTTTACATTCCTCAGAAATGTTATTTAATTTGTATTTGACACTTAGTGATCTTTTGCAGTTTTAATCAGACTTCTGGTATTAATAGTTCATGGTCTCTGCCATGGTCTGTTCTTGGTCTTGTTTTGGCAGCAAGAATATAAATTCCTCACCTCTTATTTCCACTATAGTCTATTTGATTTCTGTATTGGCTGTCTGGTGATGTACACACAGACAGTCATTTGATCAGTTGCCTGAAGTGTGTATATGCAATAAAGAGATCATTGACTTCATATAATTCTGTGAGTTGTTCTCCTACTTTGTATCTGAAGCCTAGGCCAAATTTGCCCACAAAATTGAATTCTGCTTTGTTTCTTACTTTTGCATTAAGCTCATCAATGATTACCAACATCACTTAGAAAGAAACAGAGAAACAGAGCAAGTCAGAAGGGGTCTCCCAGGCCATCTAGTCTGACCCCTGGCTCCAGCCGGCTCTGCTCATGTGTCACATGTGCATGTCCAGCCTTTTCCTGAATATCCTCACTGATGGGGCTTCAACTACCTCCCATGGAAGCCCATTCCATACCCTAGGGGTCCTAACTGTTAGAAAGTACTTCCTGGTATCCAAATTGAATCTTGTTTCCCTGAGCTTTGCTCCACTGGAATGTATCCTGCCCTTCTCTGCAGGGGAAAACAGGTCTTGACCCTCCTCCATGTGGCACCCCCTCACATACCTATATGTTGCCAACAGATTTCCCCAGAGTCTCCTCTTCTCCAGAATGAAGAGATCCAGCTCCCCCAGTCTCACCTCATACAGCTTTTCCTGCAAACTGGCTACCATCTGTGTGGCCCTACACTACACCGATTCCAAGCTGGCTATACCTTTCCTGTAATGTGGAGCCCAGAAATGAACACAATACTCCAGTTGGGGGCACACCTGAGTCATACAGAGTGGTAGTAATACTTCTCTTGATCTAGAAGCCACACTTCTGGCTATGCAACCAAGGGTGGCGTTTGCCCTCTTGACTGCCACATCACAATGCTGACTCATGTTTAGCCTGCAGTCAACCAGTACCCTGAGATCCCTTTCACAAGTGCTGCTCTCCAGCCACTTGTCCCCTAACCTGTACATATGACACCTATTCCTATTCCCCAAGCACAAGGCCTTGCACTTATCCTCATTGAACAGCATCCTGTTATCCCCCCCTCACTTCTGTAGTCTATCCAGATCCTTCTGAATCTGGAGTACTTACTCCTCAGTTGTGGCCACTGCCCCCTGTTCCAGGTCGTTGATGAAAAGATTGAACAGGATTGGTCCCAGGACAGAGCCCTGGGGGACCCCGCTCACCACAGGCCGCCATCCCTCTTGTTTTGGTGTGTTACCAGTTTCCTCTGAGACACGCTCATGTAGGTTTTTTATTTCTTCTCCTTCAGCATCTGTTGTTGGAGCATAGGCTTGAATGACAGCTATGTTGATAGACTGTTCCTTTTTATCCTCTGCCCCTGTCAAGAACCAGTGTCAACCATGATCACTGCTTTTATTTCACTTAGATGCTGACTGGGCCTCCCAGAGCTTGGGTGTCTTCCTCTGCTTAGTCTGCGCGGAGATTCATCGCAGCATCCCCAGCATCAGCAAAGTTAAGTCAATAAAAAAGGACGACTGGGAAGAGCACCAAGTTCAGGTGAGTCTTGCTTGAAGAAAATTTCTGCCCTGTTATTTGTTTGGGGCATGCATGCATCTCCCCTTCTTTTGTCTCCAGAACACTTAGAGTGGAAAGAGAGGCAGAAGAGGCAGGACTGGCTTTTGTATGAGGCAGGATGACCCTCCGGCATCAGGCAGAGGAGTGGTGAATTGTGCTGCTTCCCCCATGCCTCCTCTATAGGGCTTGCTGATGGCTCTGCTGCCCCACCACCTTCAGTGGGTGCTCTGGAGAGCCCTACCAGCCACTCCTCCATTGTGGCGTTTGTCACAGTGAGAGCACGACTGGAAGGTCTCTCTAGAACAGTTGCCCACCTTCTGTTTGCTGTCTCCTCACATGACAGCCACATAGCTGGAAGAAGTGCCTCTCCACGTGACGGGTGGCAGTAGCAAAGGCAATGCAGGGGAGATGCAACAGTGCACGTTCTCTCCTGGCTTGGAAAGCGAAAGCGCTTGCACCAGCGCTGAAAAGAGCTGGCATTAAATTAGAATGGTCCCCTGTGCATCATAAAAAAGAGGACAAAAAGGGAATCTGCAAGGGTAGGCAAGGGTCACCCTGGCACTTGTGGAGAAAGCCCTGATCCCTCTCGCACCAGGCTGAGTTGTTGCTTCTGTGTATCCTTTAACAGTATGGAAATTGTCACAGTTTAAGGCTACTTCATATATTGCCATTGTAAGGACATTTTAAGTCTACACTGGCAGTGGCGCGTCCACTTTTATTTATTCATTTTTACTTTGCATAGGGCTATCTAAGTAAGAGGCCTACTACACATTTAAAATATCAATACAACCGTGGGCTAACAAATGCACGTGCCATCTCATGCACCCAACACAGAGCTGTTACTGTTTAGTTCAGCTTTCTTCAACTTGATACACTCCAGACATGCTCAGCAACAGCTGCCATAAACCCCAGCCAGCACAGTAGTCCAGCACTGTGGAAACCCTTTCAGCCTGAGGGCCCAGTTCCATTCTGGAGATGTCCCTGGGGCTGCATTCTGTCAGTGGGTAAGGCCAAAGGCAAAAGGGATCAGGTGGAAATATCAAAACTACCAGCATATTTACCTGAAGGTCTCGCTGCAAGTAACTAAACTATAGGAGAGGCATTCCAATCGTATTGAGTATGGAGAGAATTGTGCAAAAGCTAGAAAACCACCAAATGATAGATAGTCTGGGAAAAGGGATGGGGTTAAAGGAAGGGGGACTGTCAGCTGGGGAACCCATGTGTGCTTTCCCTCTCTTCTATCAAGAACTCGGAGGGCAGGAGAGTCGGGGCTCCCCAGGGTGAGGCGCTTGCATCAGGCAGCAGAGCAGGAGGCTCCGTGAAGTGTGTGATTCCTCCCCACCACCCCAGGAGGGCTTGCTGCTTCTCCCTCCTGCCTTCTGTGGGTGCTTCAAGGAGTCCCGACAGCTCCTCTCTTCCTCTTGGTGTTTGGCCCGTGGATCTGATGTTCTGCATTCTTACTGCATCGTGTATTAGAAATCTCAGAATGCAACGCATTAGTCTGGTGCTCATCTGGGGAAATAACTCCATATTGCAGGAGTTGATCCACACGGATCCACACGGATCAGTCCCAAGCCCCCCAGCAGATGCCTGAAAGCGTGGATAATAGCAAACACTATACAATACTGTATACAATAGCAAGCAGGGCCCCATGGGCAGCAAGCTGCAAAATAACCTCGAAGTTCATACTCAAAATAAACTCAAATAAACAATATACATTTCTTTCCTCCAATTTCATTCATTCTTACCTCAGCTCTTTAAGACTTCCTTTGGAATTTTATTGTACTTTATGACTTCTCTTTCGGGCCGAGGTCAGCTGTGGTCCACTGAAAATGAAGTAACCGAGCCAGCGATACAGGGGTCTTGCTGTATCTGGAGAACGAGAATTGCTCAGAGTTTGTAGGTGGTGAGGGGTATGTGGACATCAGGAGGGGCAAGTAAGACTGGAACCAGCCAGGATTGTTCCTGTGTGAGAGGGCAGGAGTGTTCACTGATGCATCTCCCTGCTTTACAGTTTTTGGCACAGCATGGGAACATGGTGGCCCAAGTGACATATGAAGCTAATGTCCCTACGTATTATTACGTCCCAGTCCAAACAGACTGCCTGTAAGTATGCTTGCTCTGTCAAGGTCAGCAGGAAGGGATGGCGGGTGAATGCTGTTGCTCTTCTCTTACCTGTTGCCATATCACCTGTTGTGATGTCTCACAGAGTCCTGAGAGAACAGTGGATACGAGCCAAATATGAAAGGAAGGAATTCATGCAACCAGGAAAACAGTCACCATATTCCAATGGTAACATTCTGCAGTGTTCCAAAATCTATAAAGTGTGATCCTGGCTTCTCCAGCATGCCTGCAGACACTTTATGTGGTGCCCACAACAACCCTTATTTTTATTTTACTTCTTAAGCCTCTTTAATTAATTATTTTAATGAGGATGCTGCCATGCTGCAAATCAAAGTGCTTTCTCTAAAGCCATCCTCATTTGTATTCAAAAAAGTAGTTTTGTGTTTTGATGCTCAGAACCTACTTCTGTCTTTTCTAAGGGTTTTTTTTGCAAGGAACTTTGCCTTTTGTGTCACTTTTGGCCTTATACAAAATCAGCATTTCTCATCCAGCAATGGCTGTCCCCACAGTGACAGCCATTTTATGAATGGGCACCTTCCCATGGCAGCCATTTTGTGAGAATGTCCTTGACACACTCTCAAAATTCCAGATAGACCTACTGACCCAAAAATCTTGGGAATCCCTGATGCAATTCCTTTACTAGGTCAAATTAAAGATCGCCCAAAATATACAAGCTTTTGAGACGTCTTCATCAGGCATGATGCTACAAAAAGTAAGCTGAAGGGGTGGAATGGGAACAGAAGAAAATGGGACAAAATGATTATGGCATGGAGGGACTTAGAACTTTGTGTTTTTTTAAATTAATAATAATTTTAATTTGCAAACAGAACAGAAGAAGACAAAACAAAAAGGTCACCTCACAGTAGCATTAGCAAAAATTCAATATTTGTATCTTAAATATATGAGTGTTAAAATGTTGCTAATGGTATTGTGAGCTGAACTTTTTGCTATATCTTTTTCTCTTCTGTTTGCAAATTCATATTTAATATAAGCAATCAGTATATCTGAATAAGTATCTAAATGAGATTGATGACAATAAGATACAACACTGTTTCATGTTGATTATCAAAACCAGAGCAGAATTTGGCAAGCCAGAGTCTTCTTGGAGCAAGTGCGGACTTCCCTCTCTGATAGGTGAGAATGTTCCTTGTTGTAGCCTGACTAGCAAACATCTCTAAAGACTTAACCAGCAGATTTTTGCCTAGTGGTGGCTCATGAAATGAGTGGCAGTACTAATGCTACAGGATGTCATTTGGTTTCTGGCCGCCCCCCCAGAAGAATCAAGAGCCTGCAGAAGGTGACAGGCAGAATTCTAGTTCAGTATCTGTGGTTTTTGCAGGCTGTAAGCTGGCAGGCACCAGGCCTCTCCACATGAGGCGTTTAACCCACTGCTTTGATTAGGCTTCCATTTTCTTTGCAAGAGAAACAGTGCATCCTGTACAATGCTTTTTCCCCCAGGACTTGTCCTCCTCCATTTTTCTGTGTGTTCAGCCACAAGGTGGCTAAGTGGTATGGCTGTAACATAACAGATTTGTGGCAATGCACAAGACGATCATTTGTTCTGCATTTGAAATCTAATAGTTGACTTCCCTCACTCCACAAATACAAAAAGGCCTCAAAACTGGTTGTAAAACCCAGGGCCCTGGAGGATGATGCTTTCATGAAAAGGATGTTCTGTGAATGCACAGCAAAAGTCACAGTTTCTATGTGTGGATGCTTTGTGCCTGGGAACAAGCACAGCAAGCATGAGGCCCACCACCTAATCAAGATCTAATCAAGCAGTGGCCATTTTTCTTCTGGTGAAGGCCTGGTATTTTCAGAAGGTGGGCAACAGACAAAATGCAACCACTGATGTTTTTCCCTGCAGCAATGGAGGAACATAAGCATTGCATTCCTGAAGCTGCTAAATAACCACAACCCAAGTAATTCCTTTTTTAATCTCTCCTCAAGACTATTTTCCTTCCCCTTCACATATACATCCCCAGGCTGGGAGTTGCATGGAAGGCAACAGGGTGGACACGGAGCCCAAAGGCATGCCATTTCTAAGGCAGCTTCCTATGTTTCTGAGGTTTTGTGATGACTCCCTGTCCATTGTCTCTGCTCACCAGCTTGCATTTCTTCTCCTAGGATTGAAGGAAGGGATCTTATGGAAACGAGGCCGAAACAGTGAGCAGTATCTGCCACGCAGGTTTCTTCTCTCTGAGAGAGAGTGTTGCCTCAAATACTTCATTAAACCAGATGTGAGTAACATGTGACTGGTGAGCTCATCCCAACCCAGAGCATGCAATCTTTCCAAGAGATGTTTCAAGAGTTTTCTTTAGAGTCCTTTAAGGGAGCCCTAGAGCAGGGGTGCAGAACCTGAAGCTCAGGGGGTCAAAACAGCCGCCGGGCAGGTTTCCTCAAGGCTGCAGTCCTTTCTCTGACAAGGTTCCCAGCTTTGCTGCTTTTCTTTCCTCTCCCTGCTTTCTGAAAGGCTCAGGTGCCTCTCCTAAACCAGAAGGAAGAACCCTGAGATCTTTTAGGCCCTACTCCTTTTGTCTTAAGCCCCTGTCCCTATTGGAATATGGTCCCCAGGAGCTTCTCTAACATGAAATTCTGCCCTCGGGGGAAAAAAATCCAACACTCTTGCCTCAGATCGACCCTTGCTTCCCTGATGGTGTCTCACCTAGATTAAAGTTGAAATTGTATGCTGCTTTGGGGCAAGGGCCTGTCATTGTTACATAACTCTGTAATATCCCATGAACATGGTTGATGTTATAGAAATGATAACAATAATAATAACAATTTCTTCTCAGGCAAAAGAACCCAAAATAGCTGTTAAAATTGACAGTGTCAATGCCATGTTCCAGCCAGAGAAGATTGGGAATCCCCATGGCCTGCAAATCACCTATCTTAAAGATAACAAGACCCGCAACATCTTTCTTTACCATGAGGATGGCAAGGTATGTGGACCTGACCTGCCATCATTCTGTAGCACTACCATCTGCATCTAAAGGACATTATGGAGACTTCCTTGATTAACACCATCCTTGAATTAAAGCAAGGGTAGGCAACTTTACAAGGCGGAGGTGGCATTTGAGCCCCAACACACTAAGCAGTGCTTTGAACCAACAGTATGCAGCGCCAACAGAAACATCTTTCACTGCATTTCCATCTGCCTGTAAAACACTGTGTTAATTACCAAAATATAAAAAGCTGGGCCTGGACTCCAACATGGGGCACAAAAAAAGGTTCCAGGGGTACCACGTTGCCAACCCCCATCTTACATGGTGCTAGAGGCCTAAGGCTGCATCTGAATGCAAGCTTCCCTCTGCTCTTCATCTGCCTCCTCTGGTACTCTCCACACCTGAAGCAAACAAGCAGAGTTGCAAGAACTGGTTCCTGATGTTCTTCTTTCCCATAAGGTAGACATTTATCTAGTCTGAGAAATCCCGCAAGGCAATAGCAACATGAAAGACAAGTGCTTAATGTTGCCTATAAATATGTCCAGGCTAAGAATAGTAGAGTCCATCTCTTTAGCATCTTTAGACAGTCCTCTGAGTGGGATGGTGTGAATTGGTGACCTGCAACAGCAGGGGATTGGACCCGATGTCCTTCTTGGCCCCTGTTCTATGATCTTACGAATTCTGGCTGTGGGAGATGTTCACAGGACCAGAATACATGTTATGCTTGCTCATGTAGCACGAAGCTATGTTTCTTCCTCCTTTTGAATTAATATCAGACATGGTGTATGTGGATGGTTCTAATGCATGAGGAGAATTTTTTCAAAAAATTGTTTATAATGGAGCAGAGTTTTGAGGGTAAGGACAGGACTGGGAAGAGAAGGGAAGGGACAGTCTCTTCTCCCCATATATTGAGATCCCTCTTAAATTGTCACTCAGCTGTGTAATTTATGGAAGAAAGCTAGCTACATCACGCTTCCCCAACCCTTCAGATGTGTTGGACTGCAACTCCCATCAGCTTCAGCCAGCATAGCTAATGATAACAGTAACCTATTATTTGGCCCATAGATCATGCCAAGTAACACTTCTTTTATTGGGCTTTGGTTTTCTCAGACCCACAGAGCAATCTTAATCATGCCAACTATTTCCATACATCTAAATGGGGCTTGCTTTTGAGCAAACCTGTTGAAGATCAACCTTCCAATTATTTATGCGTTGTTCTTTTGTGGGCCTTCTCCTTCCCTAGGAAATAGTGGACTGGTTCAATGCAATTCGTGCGGTACAGCTCCACTATCTAAAGGTGGCCTTTCCTGTAGCCAGTGATCAAGAGGTAAGAGTTTTACGCAGTGAGAATAACCCACTCACAAGGGTTATGACCTGGCTAAGTGACCTGGCTTCCCAGGGTGCTTCCAGATCACTCTGCATCATTCATAGAATTTTGCAGGCTAGCCAGACAACATCATCTTCCTGTGTTCCTCCAATGCTGAGAAGAGAAGAGAAATACCTGCACAGTGCCCCTTAAAAACATCAGAACAGCCATGCTGAATCAGTCCACACAGTGGCCAACAAGTACTGGTTTCTCAAGCCACTGGTATACAGAAGCATCTGCCTCTGAGAAAGCTGTGGGCGGTGGGGCGGGGGCTCTTCCAGCTGGCATGACTAGCGGCTGTGGATTCTTGTGGCCAGGAACCTTCCATCTGAAAGCTGCCCTAGTGACAATGCAGGCCTAATTTTTTTCAGCTCTTTTGGCCATTTTTGACTCACGGTGCACACCCACGTGTCCGGCTGGACTAGCCTCAGGCATTTTTATTTGCTGACTAAAAAGGCAATTTGCATATCCAAATTGGCTGGGGGTATCTTTCTGACCCCTGATGAATCAGAAATGATTGCTTTGTTGCAGTTGGCGAGCCGGTTGACCCGAAATTTCCTGAAAGAAGGCTATATGGAGAAGACTGGGCCCAAGGTATATCAGTTTACTGATTTATTAGGTTTATTTTTCTGATTATTCTGCTAATTGCAGAAGCTGTGGGTAGAAAATACGTTAAATAGAAAAAGAAACCTAACTTATCCATGGTTTACTTGAGAGGGGAAAGATCAGCAGAGTTGAAAACATCAAAAAGGCAATCCATAGGGTCCCCAAGGGCACAATCCTAAGCATTCTAAGTTTTAATTGAGCAAAGTCCTGCATCTCCTGAGCTCTAGAACAACCTTCTCCAGGGTGTTGATTTCCAGATGTTTTCAGCTGCAGCTCGTTTCCATGCTGACTGCTGCTGATTAGTTTTAATGGCTGTCTGGTGTGGGTTATATTTCTATTTTATCTTTGGGCTGGAAGATGTTCATTTTAACATGAGCTTTTAATAATATTTTATCGTATTGATGTCTGTTGGTGTTCAGCTGATTTTTGTGGAATGTGGCTTATTGAAGAGGCTGTGTTGTGGCACCCTAATCAAACTCTTAGGTGGCACATCTCAGCCTAAGCTGTTCTGCCGCAGGCAGAACTGATGCAGCACAGGATTCAGAGGAAGTTGTTCTAATGCCACTTTCCCAGATTCAGCAGCAGAGGGCTCTCTCCTCTTGTAAATGTCCTTGGTTCTCTCTGTCCATCGCAGCAGAAGGAGCCTTTCAAGAAACGCTGGTTCAGCCTCGACCATCGCAGACTGATGTACTTCAAGGATCCATTGGTAAGCTGATGAACTTTCCCATATTTATTTCTCCCAGTTCTTTAGCTTTCATATTGTTCTTCCTTGATATTGAGGAAGATTTGCTCCCTCATCAAGTGCTCTCCAGTTTGACTTCAGTGCCAATCATCCCCAGCAGGTAAGCACACCAGCTACAGTCCAACTGGTGGTCCACAGTCCAACATACCTGGAGGGCACCAGGTTGGGGGAGACTACCAAGGTTGTTCCTCAAGGCCTGGGGAAGTGTAGCTCCTATCCTTAAAAATGCTTCCCTGGGCACATCTGCCAGAAACTGGCTTCTCCCATTGGAGAAGGCCCATATAGAGTGAAATCACTGTGCTTCCCACACCTTCTGGGGAGAGGATGTGGAGTGAGTGAATCTGCCCTCTTGCAGCCCCCTCGTTGTCTGCGATTGGAGATAGTTTCCACGGGCCGGAAGTTGCTTCCTCCTACACTAGATATTTTAGGTCACAGGGGACCGGTCACCTCATCACCCAGGCCTTGGCCTGCAGTTCCTCACTCTCCCAGCGACTGGGATGCTTGACTGGGGAAGGCCCTGGAGAGAAGGATGATGGGAAATATATGCTCTCCAACCTTCTTGTATTTATGTTTTCCTGCAAGAATCACAAAAAGGCTCTCACATTCCTCCTCCTCTTTTCCATTTTGTCCTCACAACAACCCTGTGAGGCATTGCAAGAACATAAGAAGATCCCCGCTGGATTAGGCCAGGGGTCCATCTAATCCAGAATTCTGTTCATCCAGAGGCCAGCCAGCTTCCTGCAAGAGATCAGCAAGCAGGGCTTGCAGGAACACCCTCTCACCTAAGTTCCCCAGCCAGCAAGGTTCATAGGCATACTCTCGTGGCTCCTGCATATTGCCATCCAGACTGGGGAAGCTAGGCTGAGAGTGAGTGACTGGCCCTAAGGCACCCAAACAGAGCCTAGAACCCAGATTGCCCGAGTCCCAGTCTGACGCCAGCTGCTGCTCCAAACTGGATTAACTCATAACTTTAGATGTTAAGAACTGCCGCTGTTGCTGCTTTGGCTGTGCCTGCTTCTGACCTTAAGCATTAGGATTTAGGATACATGGCCCATTACCCTCTTTCCAGTCAGTCCCTAGGAAAACTGTTTAACAGCTGTGTTTCTGGGCTGTCAAGCACTCAGATGGGCCTGAGTCCCCATGAGGTCCCTAAGGCAGGCTCTCCTCCTTTTCCTCCCATCACACAGGATGCTTTTGCTAAAGGCGAAGTGTTTGTGGGCAGTGGGGAACATGGGTACAGTGTCACAGAAGGGCTGCCAACCAGCACGCAGGGTTGCTTCACCTGGCAGCATGGCATCACCATTGTCACCCCTGACCGAGATTACCTTTTCACCTGTGAGACGGAGAAGGATCAGCAAGAGTGGCTGGCAGCCTTTCGGCATGTTCTACAGCAGCCCATGACCCCCCAGGAGTATGCAAGTAAGTGAACCTGAGAAAGGTTTCTCCATCTGTCCAGTTCTTACACCTGGACGTGCATACCTTTGCTAACATGTATGGTTTTAGAGCGGGGATGGGGAAAGCATGGCTCCTCAGCTGTGGTTGGAAACCGACTCCCATCATCCCTCCACATTGGCTGTGCTGATGAGGGCTGATAGGAGCTGAAGCCAAGCAATATTTAGAGGACCTCACCCCTGCTTTAGAGCAGGCTTGGACAGAAAGTAGATTTCCAAATGTTTTGGACAGGGGCTTATGGGAGTTGAAGTCTCAGACTTCTGGAGGTCTACCTTCTGCCCACCCCTGTTTTGGAGGGGTGAAGGTGCCTCACATATGATACAACTGTAATCCTCCCAAAAACCCTGTAGGATAAGCTGGTATTATCAACCCTGTACTGGGATGGGGAGCCAAGTAGGAGACAAGGGCTTGGCTGGTGTCACCTAGGTCAGGAGTCCCTCACCCACAGGTGCATCAGCAAATTCTCCACCCCCTGCCCCCTTCCTTTTCTTTAGAACCAAAATAAAAGGTTTGTTCTGTGTCTAATTGTACTGAATTCTGTGTGAATATCTACTTGCAGAGCTTGTCCATGTCTGGCTGTAACTGTTGTGCTCTAAGAGTTTCTCTCTCTTCCTACAGTTGAAGCTTATTTCAAACTCAAGCCCTGATGTCCCTGCAGAGCAAACCTAGTTGCCCTCTTTGGGAAACCCAGGGGAAAAGGAGGCACCTTCTGCCAAAGACGTTGCTTTGCTATATTCCAGTCCCTCATGACTGGGAAGAAGCTTCTTTAAATCTATGAGAGCAAATCTTTTCCATGGAGCCTGCGCATCCTCCAAGTAGCCCTCTTCATCCCGAGCATATGTTAAGATGACTCCTAGCTGGCCATTTGGAAAGTGCCGGATCCAGCTGGACATGGAACCAAGCAGCAAGGAAATCAGATGGAAAGACTAAGGGCTCTGGAGTTGGTCTCTATCACCTGTTGCAAGTCCTTGTGCTGCCCCATCACAGCCCTGGCAGGCTTGTTTTGGTTAGTCGCAGCATGCGCAGTGCCCTCCTCCGGCCAGCACTGCTTGCTGTGGGTGGCGAAAGCCTTCGGCAGGCAGATGCACACATCCTCCCGGTGTGATGGTACCTGACGGGTGTCTGTCTAGCCTTGCGTCTGCTCCACACCCACCCCTCGTCCCTCACACTGCGATTCTTCTTTTCCCTTGGCCACCAGCTTCCCCGCATCTTGCTCTCTGCTCAGGGTCCTGCCGGAACCTGCTGGCCAGCTTCAGCTTAACCCACGATGGGCGACAGATCGCCCATGGCCCCCACACGGTCTCTCTTGGCCAATATTGCACTTTCTCCTCCCCCTAAAAAAGAAAGAAGAGCTGTGCTGGGTTAGACTGATGGTCCATCTCGTCCAGCATTTGGCCGGCCAGCTGCCCACAGGATCCCACAGGCAGGAGAGCAGCGCGACAGCAGCCTTCCCCACCAACTGGGGGCTGTAGGCACGCTGCCTGCCACAGTCGCCACTGTGCTAGCAAAAGGCGTGATGATGTGAGAAAACGTCACGTGCGGGGAGCACACAACTTGTCCAGAAGCAGAACTACGGTCCCAGAGGTTTCGTGGGAGTGGGACTCTACTTGCAGGCAAGGCACATGCTCTGGGCTTTGCTGCCTCGTGGGTTCAGCACACTCGGCGTCAGTGCAGCAATGGGCATTGTGGTCCCCAGCCCCTGAGCCTCTGCCTGCCTTAGTCTCTGGCTCTTGACGGCCTGCAGAAGCGCTTGTCTTCTGAGTTGATGCTGTTGTCTGCAAAAGAAAATGGTGAATGATGCCTGTGCAAAGAATGCTTTGGGTCAACCACGCCGTGCTCCCCTCTCGAAGCTGCATGAGAACGATCTTGACAACATGCCAGAGCCCTTCCCAGGGCAGTGTAGGGGGCTGAAAAAAAATCCTAACATTTCTTGGTTTTGTTTCTTGTTTTTGTTTTCTATTTGTTTTAATTGCAGTTGTTACAATTTGATTGCTTTGTTTTCATTTCTCCACTGATATCAGTGGGGAACAGGCCAGTCTTCTGCTGCCTGTGACTTCTGCATTTTGTGTCCAAAGGTCATGACATTTCTAGGTGTTCTATTATTCCCCCCAAAATAAAAACAACAACATTGTATTTGCCAAGTTTCTGGCTGATGGGACAAAGGGCACCATTTCTCTTCTGTCTCACAAGGTGTGTAGTCAACAAGCTTCCCACTGAATTTCTATGAGAGGATCATGTACCATGTTGCCTGTTATTTCACATAGGGGTTTTTTTTTGGGGGGGGGGTTCTCATTTTATAGACCCCACATTATATCGGTCAACTTCACCGTGTCCCCATTTTCTTTCTCTGTAACCATTCTGTGATTGTACAGCCTGTTTCAGCCGTTCCTCATATTTTTCCCAATATAAATAAGTGAAAAAAAATTCAAAAAGTTTTAACGAGAGAAAATGAGTTTTCATTCAGAACTTTGAATTTGCTTCTACAACCAAAATTAATGAAATAATGGGGCGTTGCGGTTTCCAGTTATTTTAAAAATGGAAAAAATGGTTATCTGAAAGGTTGTTACCAGTAGCCCACATATCTTTCCCTCTTTATACCCAAACAGGTGGGGCCCCTGGGGAGTCACAACAGCCAGGGCAGCCCTTTTCTCTGGTCTAGCAGCACTCTCCTTTCAGCTCTTAGCGGATGGACTAATCAGAGGAGATGGGCAGCCTCTGCAAGTGATCACAGCACTGTCCTTCCGCTGTTTGCAGCAGGAAGCCATTCAGAGGTGGGGCGGAATTTGTGTCTAGCAGTGGTTTGCAGAAAATGACTGGAGAGAGAACCCGTTGCATGGGGCATAATTTGCAACTTGGATTCAGAGAAATGGCTTCCTCGCAGATTGGCAGAAACACTGGAGATATTCACAGGAGTATTTTATTGAATGTAATCCAGAAAGAGCTGTTTCACTGCCAAAGCCCTTCACAGATCAAGCTAGATTCACAGGGCACCATCCTGCAGCCAATTGCCAGAGCAGCTCATGAGAATGGCAAATTTATGAGCAGAGAATTCTATGTAGAGCTATTGCTGTCTTGGTATCCCCAACATTGCTAATTTGGCATAAAGCAGGCGTGGACGGGGTATGGCTCTCTTTAAGGGATATGGGCGGAATCTAATGGTGGGGTAAAAAATCTGGCAGAGGCCCACAGTTCAGCTCCCCAGATCCTACCCTGTCCTGGTGTAAGCAGAGCCAGCTGGTCGCCATCCATCTGTTCAACCATCTGCAATTGGTACACTTTTTAATCACTAATGAAATGTGCACACCAAAAATCACGTAGTTGCACCACTTGCTTGCTTCGCCCAAACTTGGCTATTTGCAGACTCTGGAAAGAAAAGGAACCACGCTTTCCTAACCCCAATGTGACACTTAACCCTAAACTTAAAAGACAGACATAATCCTTATACATTCTTTGCCTAATTGTGGCTATTTCCAGGTCCTCAAGAAGGTTTTCATTTCACTGTTTTTCCCCTGCTCAACCTCAGCCTGAACACCAAGATAGAAATACCTATACATTCAGACAAACTGGAGAAATGCAACATTTTGAGCAGTTTTCTTTGTTTTGCATTGCCTATCTTCTAGAAACAAATAATAAAACTGTTTGGCCGATCCTGCATATTCCTTCTGCCAGGTCAGGGCCTCCATCAGATTCCAGTCTCCTAGATGAAGACTGAAGATCTTGACACCCACCCACTCAGGAAAAGCCAAATAAAGAATCACTCACTTTAATAACCCCCTAGCTTTATCCCCCACCCCCAAGGCATGCAGGAGACTTCCTTAAGGGAAACAGGAGTGGAAAACTTGCTGCACCCAGCTGAATTTTTTGACAGGGATCAGTTCTGACCTTGAAGGCCTAAAACCTAGCAAACAACTATGATAGCACGTGTAGGCAGTGGCAATGAGTGCACGCTGGCCCATCCTCATGAAGTGGAGCTTCTTGATAGCAGCAAAAATCACAAAAATTCTTTCTTGTCAGCTTTGAGGAATGAGAAGTAAAGCTTATTGCTCTCCCCAGTATGGCAATTTGGGAGCTGTAATCCTATCCAACTGGACAGAGGAAAGCTACTTTATGCACATAACTCTTTCCTTCCCTTTTAGCCACATTTTCATCCATTAAGGACTTTCCATTCCTTCCTGGATATGAATGAAAAACTAAAAGCAGGAAAGGTGGGAAGTAGGCTGAATTCAAGGAGAACTCACAGGAGAGATGGGCAGAAATGGAAAGATGAAGGAAAGGAAAAGAAACCGTGTGGGTGTGCAGTGCCTTGCTCAGTGACCAGCAAATGTCCAGAAATTGCTGCCGAGAGTGTTAGCATAGCACTTGAGTGTGAAGCCAAGCACCAGGCACGTCATTCCTCCACGCAGAGGTGAATGCTGCTTTTGAGAGGGGATCGCTTGGGGAAGTGCAACAGAGAGGACGGTGAAGAGGGAATCTGCTCGGCTGTTTCAAAAAGGCTTTCTGTGTTAATGGACCTGCAAATAAGACAGAGATATCAAAGAGCGAGAGAGCGAGCAGTCTCACTTTGAGCTGAAAAGCAGTGAGAAGATACCATGCTGTTAAGTCCATAGTGTGGAACATGGACTTCTTTGCATCACCTTGATTCTCCAGGGAACGGTAAAGAGCATCGCCAAGAACAGCCTGGAAAGAAGACTGAGGTACCCAGCAGGCCTGTATCATTGCATATGGGAAATAGGTCCCCCTCCCCACAGTTTCTCCCCATCACACTTGCCGTCCTTTCCCTCAGTCCTTTAAACTGCCACGAGGGCTGCACACAGTATGTGCATGTGCTGTACTTTTCCTTAGACCTGGAGGTGCCCCTGGCTAACACAATGACGGCAGAGCTCATTGAAGACACTTCCTGGAGCAATTCCTCTGAGGACCCTGAGTTTGGAGAGGAAAGTCCCATCACTGGGGTCTTGGGTGCAGTGCTTCTCCTTATGTGCCTCATTGGGGTGACGGGGAATCTCTATACGTTGGTGGTGGCCCTTGGCGGAATGGCGCTTCGCTCGACGGGTTCTTTATGCGTGTATGTGGTCAACTTGGCCCTGGCGGACTTGCTCTACCTTTCCACCATCCCTTTTGTGGTGTGCACCTATTTTGCCCAGAACTGGTTCTTCGGGGATGTGGGCTGCAGGCTCCTGCTTAGCTTGGACCTACTCACGATGCATGCAAGCATCTTCCTGCTGACGGCTATGAGCTTGGAGCGTTACTGGGCAGTGACCAGACCCTTGAAGGCCAGGCGGGCTGGAAACAGTTACCGCAAATTTGTCAGCGTCGCCACATGGATCCTCTCCTGGTTGCTTACTGTGCCCATGATGGTCATGATCCAGCAGCGGGAGGGCAGCAACCACAAGCATATTTGTTTTCCTACATGGACACCTGAGGCCTTCCGGGTTTACCTCACAATCCTGTTCAGCACGAGTATCCTTGGGCCCGGCTTGGTCCTAGGCATAGTGTACTCCCGCCTTGCTCAGGCCTACTGGGCTTCCATGAGAGCCGTACAGCCATGCGTGACGAGCAGAGTACTGAAACAACAGCTGTTCTCCAGGATTTTTGGCATCATTGTAGCTTACTGGGCCTGCTTTGTGCCATTTTGGGCCTGGCAACTAGCCAAGCTGTACTGGTCAGAGGGCTTGGCGATGGGGCCCACCACTCAAGCTTACCTCAACTTTGGTGTTACCTGCCTGACCTACAGCAACAGCTGCATCAATCCGTTCCTTTATACTCTGCTCACCAGGAATTACCGCGAGTACGTGGCAGCTCAAGCTGGGGAGAGGCGGGGTGGGGAACATGCGCTCTTCAGGAGGAGGAAGCACCAAGCAGAAAGGAGATCTGTGGCACAGGGAGAAAGGACTGGATAGAGAAAGCAAAGGGTTCCTCCCGGTAATGATCACCAAAGTGTGTATTTGCATGTATGAATTTGCATGTATGAATCAACCTAATCCCTTAGAGCATCTTCCAGAGCTTTGCAGTGGGGAGGTGTCCCACTTTACAGAGGACAATTCTCAGTTTTAGAGATAAGTCACAGAACGATATTATATGTGACGGGTCCCCTCTGTTTGAAGGAATGCCTACCCCATGTCTAAAGAAAGGAGACCAGCAGGGGCCTTGAAACTCCCCTTGACAGTTGGCACCTGTGCAGAAGGCAACGCAGAAAAGCACGCAGCTCCCCTGGTCACAGCCAGGCTGTGGCAAAATGGCTAGTGTTTCTATTTAAATAATAGCAATCATTTGTAAGTGTGCACTCCTAGAAGTTAACACATGCAGATCCTGTGCATATTAGTGTACTTCCCTGCACCCCGATGCATTTCCTCCTTTTTTGGGAATGTGAAAGGTGCCACCTAACTTCCTGCCTCTCAGCTCTCAGATATGATGCGTGGGCACCTGACTCATGGGATTCCCTTTCCTGAATCACTCATCTGGCTTTCCCATTAATCAGACTCAGATGGTGCTGCTGCTTCAGAGTTTGGGGCAGCCTATGACTTGTCTCGGTCTGGCAGAGTGGGCCTGCTGCTGTTTTTATGAAGTTGCATTTCATTATATTTCTCTTTTCTAAGAATGGATTAGAGCCAGATGTACCCATGTCTGCATTTGACCCCACAAAATGTATGGGACCTAGGATTGCCATGACTAACTTAAGCTACATTGATCAGCTATGACTAAGTCTGGAACCAACCCATACTTGTTCATTGTCTTCAAGGTGAAAGCTCTGAATGCTGAATGTTAAACAAAGAGGAATTGTAACTAGAACAGAAAGGGTTCTTTTGATATCTAGAGACCCTTCGAGTCTCCTGCGGGATGCTTTGGTATCAGAGAGCACTGCAGTGAACTCTGGACTGGTTCCTACTCATTCAGGACCTAGCCACACACACTAAAGTATTGGACATTCATGTCCTCTTTTTTACAGTGGTCACCCTCTCTGCATCTCCCCATTTATTGCGCTTCATCTGATTTCTACTGTTTACTTATCTCCGGTAGAACCATCTGTGTGGTGGATCTTTTAGGAAGACATTGGAGGAAGGTTGCAATGTTTAGTGCATGAGTGCAGTGAGGTTATTGAGTTTTCTTATCTCTGCACCGTAACCAAGCCCATCTCCACCCACAAAGCACGACCAGACCTCGGCTGCAAGCACCCCAGGCCTGGGCCGTCCTCTTCTTTGTAAAGTCCCCTTTATAGATGGCACATGTTGATATCAAAAATAAACCACATACTCTGTTCAAGGTGTATTTGAAGGAACTTATGTTGATTTGCTAACGCAACAGTTTTAAAAGCCAGAGTGGGCCAACTGGTGCACAGTCTGCAAATACATGTGGGAAGGAGGGTGTGAGGATAGTGTTATAAATACACAAAGGTCTCTGACTCGGTTTGTGAAATATTGACAGGGTACGAGACATCATTAGCTTTTAGGTGCGTCTTCCACAGTAGTAGAAGGAATGTCATATGTGGCCGTAACATACGTACCTCATGGCTGGAAAACTTCAGAAGGCCTGAGAAGCTGGGAGGTGAGGGGAGAGGCGGAGGGCCAGGTCTCAGCATCCTGTGCAGCTGCCCGAGCCATGCTTCCACAAATGTAGGCAGTCGTAATTAACCATATCGACAAGCTGGAGCTAAGAGTCTTCACAGCCACCCGGTGAAGATGTTACAGAAAGCTAATGGGCCTTCATTGCCCTTCCAAGGCCAGACTTCCCCAGAATGCTTTACATTACAGAAGGGGTAGCTTGCAGCAGAGTGTGCTTCCTGGAAAAAGCCATTCCCCTTCAGCTACTGTGAGGACCACAGACGCATTCAGAGGGAGCAAGGAGTCCTGATGAAGTGGGCATGTTGTATATGGCCATCACCTGCTCATCACATGTCCCTGGGGTCCGACTTTGTGAGCCCCGGCTCCATTGCATCACTGATCCTGGGTTCAGGGGAGGCTGGCAGATGACTGCTGGCACCGGGCGACTTGCCCCCACATGCCTGGAACCACATGATATGCAGGTGTTGCTAGAAACAGAAGGGGGGCTCCCCTTGCTGCGCTGTTCCGTCTCGCATTGCACAGAGCAAGCGTTGCTGCTCTTGCTGAGCAGAGATAACAGCTGTGCTTCCTCTCCCCAGTAGCTTCACCCACCCTGCATCCTCCCAAATGGGGGAGGGTGCAAGGTAGTCAAAAACACCTCCGCAGAGCCCACAGAAGGCAGGCTGGCAAGGAGTCCCCCCCCCTGCTCCCGCTAAATATGGTTCAGCCCTGCAAGAACTGGCAAGGAAGGATGCCAACCCTTTCCTGCCAGACCGCTTGTAGGTATCTGAGGCAGCGGCTGGATGAGACGTGACTGGACAGTCTGCACTAAATAAGTTTTCAGAGACTTATCACAGTGTGAGAGAGAAAATATGCAGGGAGTCCAAAATGCATTTGCTTCACCCACCCCACATCCTCCACCCCACGCTCCCTTCATTGTGCACGTGTGTGCCTTAAACACCCACAAAGTAGTTACAGCTACGGATAATTAACCTTGGGAACAGGCTGGCACCTGACAGCAGCCAGCAGAGCCGTGGGAACTGACCAAAGAGGCCTTCCAGTGGCTAGGGCAGCCTTCCCCAGCCCAGTGCCTTCCAGACGTGTTGAACGGCACAGTTACGGATCCCTGCGACACTGGCTGGGGAACGGTGGGTGTTGTCGTCCAGCACATCTGGAGGGCCCCGAGAGGGAGAAGAATAGGTTAGGAAGAGGAGACTACGAGGTTCGGCTTCACTCCTTGCCTCACCCCATGGTCAAGGCAAAGAAAATAAGGCGACATGTATGCCTGCACATTTATTCAGATTGTGGGATCATGGTTCACCTTGACACAGACATCGCAGCTTGTTATATGCACATTGCTTTAGCCCATGGCTTGTGCTGGCTGCGGCATCTATGAAGAACCAGGGAATACAGAGCACAGAGATGCTGCATTTGAGAGATCCTTGTGCCTCAGTGGCTAAGGACACAAATGATACTGCAACAATTAAATCAGAAATCAGTTGTGTTTATTTTATTTTTTGTCATATGGAGTAGGAAGAAGGATATAGGGCAGAGAACCCAGAGGAAGAGACCATTTAAGCAAGTGAGAAGCCTTTGAAAATAAAGTCACCTTCCACACAGGCAAATTCAATGCCTTCAAAGGCAGGGTCATTGGGGATCTTGAACTGATAGTTGCCCGGCAATGTAATGGTCACCTCTTTTTTGTCATGTGTGAAGAACACCTGGAGAAGGGGAAAAAAAACCCAAAATGCTTTCAATAGAAGTGACACCCACTCATCCCAACTATCCCATTATCAAGGTGATTATATGGAGTGGCATTTCTGGCTACCGGTGGAAGGGATACCCACGCAGTTGTGATCTTGATGGGCTGCTATGCCCTTAGCTGCATGACGGATGAAAACCCAGCAAGTGAAGAAGCTCCTTAGTATCCCCACGAGATTTGCCCAGCCAGGTGTCCTCCACATGTGCTGGGACTTCAGCTCCCCATCAAACCTCAGCCAGCATGGTCAATAGTGAGGAATGCTGGGAGTTATAGTCCAAAACATCTAGGGAACACCAAGTTGGCAAGAACTGACCTACATCAGCCTTACCCAGCTGGTGTCATGCATATGTGTTGGATTACAGCTCCCATCATCCTCAGACCACACAACCACGGACTGGGGAGATGGGAGTCACAGGCAACACATCTGGAGGTCACCACATTCAGGGAGACCAATCTCCATACAAGTAGTATAGGAGGTACACGTCTCCTGTCTCAACCACAGCAGCATCTATTTCATGTATCTACACAGTACTGAACCTCCCATCTTGGCCTCTTGGTACAATTGCCAGGCAAGTCTTCTAATTCCATCCCACACGACCAATGTACCTTCAGCTCTTACCTCCGCACTGCTGCCCTCTTGGAAGGGAAAGTTGGTCTCCCTGCGTTCTGTGCCCCATTGCCCTTTGTTTTTGGAGTTGCACACGATGGTCCTTAGGTCCCCATGACAATCAAAACGTGGATTGAAGTGTAATAAAAGGTCATCTCTGTTTTTTCCCAAATTAATGACAAAGCTGAGACAGATGGGAGAAATAGATCACTAGGCACCAGAGACAGAAAAACACCCTGTTTCTTTGTATGTTTAGAGCAGGGGTAACTCAGAATTTATTTATTTATTATTTTTTTATTTATTTAAAGTTTTTATATGCCGTCCAAAACCAAAGTCTCTGGACTGCTTACAAAAAACAAGAACAACAAACAACCACCCACTTACAACACACAACACACTCCACCAGCACACTCTTTTCTGCTAGCCCCAGCTTTCTTAGAATACTGCACAGCCTCCTAGTGGCTTGTCACAGGAAGCTTAGCCTTGAGATGGGCACCATTACTAGGAACCAGATGAATCATTAAACAAGTTGTTTTAGTAAAGAGATATTTTATAAGGAAACCCCAATGTCTATTTCAGAGTTTCAAAAGAATGTTTGGTGCCACTTCGTAAGAATTCATTGGGTGCCCTCCCAATCTGACAGCCATGCTGAGTGGAGACAATGGGACTGTAGCCCAACACATTGCGGGAGGGGGGATGTCAGGGTGGGGGAAGAATGTGCTAATATACACATTGCACTCAGAGAGGTACCTGCATTTCAAATAGACAGAGTCTCAGGTATGTGTTGAATGGTAACAAAAGCAACTCTCAGAAGAGTCCATTTCCCCTTTCTAGGGTTCCTGCTGCCTTTCCAAAGAGAAGTTGCACGGTGCACGTGCTCAGTCATGCCCATTTTCAGCAGTGCCAGCCCCAGGTTCTCACGGGCCTTTGGGAAAGCCTTTGTGAAATGGACTAACTCCTGCAGTGGCTTTACCTGCTCACGGCCATGGTCACAGCGGCTCTTGCTCCTCACCCCCTTTCTCGCCATTGCTTGGCGGGCAGAGAGCCAGAGAATAAGCAGATCGTTGCATCTACTGCTCTTCCTTTTCACTTCTCTGGGCCAGAGCAAGAGGACAGTGATCAGGGGGCTCCTGACAGGGACCCTGCTGGGATCTGGGCCCTCAACAGATGCCTCCCATGCCTCATTCTTGATGCTGGTCCTGATTTTCAGCTCTGGAGAAGTGGAAACTGCATCTTCTTGGCCCTGAGGCAAAACGAAGCAATTAAGCTAACTCCCTAAACAAAGAAGCTCCATTTTCATGGACTGGGTGAGTATCACCTGCCTCTGGTGAAGGACCCTCCCTACCTTTGAGGCTCCCTGGGGTAGGTGTGCACCAAAGAAGTTTTGTGATGGATGGGCCAAGAAGCTTCCCTGAATTTATCAGCTACGGGTGACAAGTGAGGGCATGTTGATCCTCACGATAACGTCTGTTCCCAGTGACAGAGCCAAGATCCCTCCAAGACGCTCCCTGCTACTCAGTCTGTAGTCTTCTACTTCTCCAGACATGTTGGAACACTGTCCCCATCATGCGTGGCCAGCATGGCTTAGGATCTGTAATCCAACATTTCTAGAAAACACCAGGTAGAAGTCTGTTCATCTGCCAGGATTTTGCAATGCTTAATCATTGCCTGCAAGCGCTTCCCAGTTCCTTCAAATGCTTATTCTTCATACAAGTGGGGGAAAGAAAAATCACGCCTATCTTCTGGAAGCCCTTGAAATGCTATACTTTGCTGTTGCAACGTGTGCTGGAGCAGCAGGCTTCCAAAAGTGTTGGTGCCATTTCTGTGCTGCTGCGGCTCCTTTTTGCAAGAGAATCTCTTAGCCAGCAGAACTGCTCCATTAGATCTTTGCTTGGGCTGGTATCTTGCAGCTCCCCTTCAAGTTGCTACCTCATAACACCCCTCACTTCATGGCACTGGCATTTGACGGCCGTAAGTAAGTCCATAGGCAGATACTGAGCAAGCTGGCAGCTGAATCTTAATCAAGGCTGGCTCTACCATGAAGCAGGGTGAGTTGGTCACCTCGGGTGGCCGATGCTGGACGGGACGGAGTGGGCAGCAGCTCCTAGCCGATTTCACTGCTGGAGGACAGAACTGCGTTCCAGGCAGCCCACTCTCAGTCCCTCAGGCACAATGAAGCATGCTGCCCCCTCACCACTGTCAAGATAAGATTTAGCTGCCAGCCTGGCTGGCTTCTGCAGGTGGAATGGAAAGGCACCATCTTCTCCTTTGCCTCCGGCAGCAAACTGTCTTGGACCATCCTTGCTCTCCTACTTCAGCAGCAGCTGCCCCAGTTCTTTGTCATTGTTATCCATTTTATCTGAAGAGATGCTAAGAATTAAATCCGGGATTTCCTGTGTGGTGAGGCATGAGCCAAGGGCCAAACTAGATGTATCAGGATGCCAACTGCTCAATGACGTGATCAAGCACATGTTGTTACGGAAACATTGGCTACAAAGAAGTCTGAACAGCCCCAGGTCTGTGGGCCAGTGGGGAATTTATCTCCCACTGTCCTGGCCAGAAGCTCCATTGGCTTCTGTTTATCTAACAAGGGCTAACAGATAATTGCATTCAAACAGTGTAGCCCTAATGATGTGCTGGGCTCAGGCACCTGCCTACCAAGAAAGCAGGGAAATTTCTATGCCTCTCACCTCATTTGTTTAATTGCTTTGGAAGAACTACACACTTCACTCCACAAATCCACAAATCTAGGGTAGAGCAAAAGGTTCAAAAAGTGGCAACCACAGCTGGTAGAAAAAGCATGAGTGTGCTCTTTGCATCTTACTCTGTGCATTCTTCTTGGCATGGCAAAAAAGGGAATTGCTGCGTGCAGCAGATGGAGGAAAAATTCGTTATAGGAGGAGACTTGAGGGAGAGAGGGAGGAGGGTGCAGGGAAGGGAATGGCCGCCTTCAGCAACTGGTTCTATTTAGTCTCTTGGCAGAAGTACAGCCATGGGGGAGGGGGAGGGGGAGGGGGAGGTCATTAGCTAGCATATGTTCTGATATGATTCACTGGAAACCACTTTTGTGGGTGAGCATTAACTCCTTTTTATCTTAACTGTTCTTCCCCATTCAAAGCAAGGAGAGGAAGAAAGAAGCAGGGTTCTTTGGTCTAGCTTAGCCTTCCCCAATCTAGTGCCCTCCTGATTTGTTGGACTTCAAGTCCCGGCATCCACCAGTCAGCATGCCTGGTTGGGAACAGCTACTGCACCTTCATGCAGACTAACTTACCCAGTGCACCTGGCCCTCCCATACCAGCAAGGACATATAGACTCAGACTCCCAGAATAGTAGAGTTGGAAGGGGCCATGAAGGCCGTCGGGTCCAACCCCCTGCTGTTGCAGGACACCAGTTTACACCATCCCACTCAGAGGGCTGACTTGACACTGATTGGATAGGTCTTCCCTCTTCTCTGGAATTTCATACCAGCATGGGGGACTAGGGCTCTCCTAGAGGTCCTTCAGTAAGTAAAGGAACAGCTTCCAAGATTCTGTGGAAAATCCTATGATGGTTAAGGTTCCATAAAGCCAACCCCTGATGTGATATACAAGACTGACCCTCCAAGGTCATCTTTCCCATGGAACCAACTTACCCCTTAGCTCCTGGTGGAATGTCACCTTTCACTGCAATACGCTGGCCAGGTGCCACATGCAGGCTGGTGCAAACAATTCCCTGCAGGAGAAATCCAGAGATGGGTTATGTTTTCCTCCCATCACTAGGTAGCAGGGAACTGGAATCTGATCATATTATTGATAACTGCCCTTGGACATTCACCACCATCTTCTTGCTCCAATTCAGGACCGTTGAGCCTCAGGCTTGCGGACCAAATTTGGCCCAAATTTTCCCCCAGTCTGCCCTGTCCCATTCTTCTGATCCTACCCATTCCTTCTGTTTCTGATCATTTAGTGATTTCTCAGCTGTACTGAATTTTTTCCAAAGCTTAAAACAACTTGCTTAAGGCTTGCTTAGTGGCAATACCAATTTTCAGCACAAACATGGTAGTATTTGTAGTGGAGTTGAGCGGGGTGGGTTGGCTCCACGCTTTTTCCTTCTGCACCATCCGCCACTTGAAGGTGGTCCCAAATTCTGAAATGAATTCAGCCCTCAAGCTGAAAAATTTTCAACACTCATGTTCTGGGGGCGGGAGGAAATGCCATCTTAAGATTCACAACTCACCCCCACTGCAAAATATGTGCATGTTGATACTCAGAACAAATATGAAACATGGCCAACTGAAAACTAGCTTGAAACAAAGTCTTGTGACACAAAGTCTTGTGACAAATTTATTGTGGCATGAATCTCCTTCATCAGTTAATTGATCCTATGCAGATTTAGACAGCAAAAAAGCTTGCAATTTCCAGCATGCCCCAAGCAGCAAGGCTGCATGAAGTGTGCTGGAAGTTGTCTGCCTTTTCCTATCTAAATGTGTTTAGGACTGCACCCAGAACCAATGTTCTTAACTACCAGGTTGCAAGGAAGCAATATTCTGGGCTAATATTTTCTATTATTTTTGTGAACATGTTAGGGATATTCTTGACAGAGTGAAGTTTAACAAGGAAATATTCCTTTAAGAGATACCAAAAATCTTATTAGAGTCTAACTTGCAGCAGCAACTTTAACATTTCCATTTCCAATACAGCACAAGAACCAGCTGTCTGTTGAAGAGTGTGGTACATCCACTCTTCTGCCTGGTATCATTGCATCTGTGAGAACAAGAAGGGTGTTAAAGGGCATTATGGGGGTAGTTAGCTAATCTGCAGTAACTCAGAGCATTTGCCTCTTGGCTGTCTTATTGCAGCCATTTGGACAGATAAAAGGATCAGTCCACTGCCCAGCCCCCAGCCCCTGATGCATAGCTTTAGATGAATGATGTGCAGCTTTTTCTACATGGCTGTTTATTGTGCACTAGTTATGCTGTATTCACAGCTGTTTTTCCACACATTTAAAAAGTAAGAAGAACAAGGGAGAAAGACTGAAAAATAGCAGAATTCAAAATGCTCAGAATGGAACCTAGTTGACTTTCACAGGACATATTTCCGGATTAGGAAGCATTAAATTGTGGGCTCACCATTCTCTTGCTTACCATTCTTCAAACAAAGTCATGATGTACCAGTTTCACTTCTGTGTCTAACCCACCCCATTAGAGAGGGTTTTTTTTAAAAGGGAAAATAGGGGAAATAATTTAACTGAAAAAGCAAAAGAAAGTATAATTTCCTCTGGTGTATTTGCTATGCTGCTACATCACAGTGCCACCTAGAGGTTATGTAGGAGGAGGAGGAGGAGGAGGAGGAGGAGGAGGTTGTGCAGGAGGAAAGCAGGAAAGCAAGTGCTGTGCTGCAATCTTCATTCTGCATTAAAGCCAAGAATATATAAGCACTTTAACAGCCTCATGTGGCAAAGCTCTGTTGATGTATTTCTAATCTGTGCTTGTGTTTCCAATACAGATCCAGAGAGTCGCAGTTATTCCAGATTAGCATGGAGAATCTGGATGTGATTTTAGGTAGGCAACCTTAGTGAGATTGAAATTGACCTGGATAGTAGAATGACAACCTAATTATTGTTATTGTCCGGAAGAAAAGAGGCATTCAAAGCTACTTATTTATATCAGACAGTTGTGGCTGACCACAACTTTTTTAAAAACTCTCTGCCTGGAGAACTTAGTGACTCCACCCATTTATGCACTGCTGTTCCAGCTCTCTCCGAGTGTCTCTCACCTTCCTCCAGCACAGCATGGAAAGAGCAGAAAGAGCATTGACTTAAGGTGACGGCAATGGCGAGTGTTCCTCTCCTCCTATGTGCAGAGCAAAAGCCAGGCAGAGAGCCAGGCGCTGCTTTCAGACATAGTGCCAGCCCTACCGTGAGGCAGAGTGAAACAGCCACCTCAGTGCTGGGAGGCAGCAGCAAGGTGCTGGAGGAGAGGGCTGTGGATCGCATGGCCTGCTCTTTGCTCTCTGGCTGGCCTGCCACTTTCAGATGCTGCCCTGGCCCCTGTGCTGAAGGCAGTTCCAATGACCAGCCCTGTCAGCTGTTGTATATACAATGGGAGGGCCACCGCCTTGCCCTCCGCTTCAGGCAGGAAAACAGCTTGGGCCAGCCCTGCTGCTGCCCATGCAAAGGGGAAGAGTCCCTGCAGCTTGGAGCCATCTGGTGACAGCACAGGACGACGGTGGGGCAGGTGGGAGCGTTCCACTTCACTGCATGAGAGGAGAAGTGAGCCCATCTGCTTCTTCCCACTCTGGAGTCCGGAGTCCTGCAGTGATTCGAGGACTTTGCGGAGGGAAGAGGTTCTTTTCTGGATTCTCATTGCCAGGTGGCCATGGACACTACTTTACAGAGGGCAGTTCTCCTTCTGAAGACATCCTCTACCTAAAGGGCGGGTGAGTCCATGTCTGGACGGAAGAGGAAGGCCCTGAAGGGGAGCCAGCAGGAGAGCCAGAAGTTGTCCACCCATAGCCAGCACCTGGACAGCTGTTGGAGCAGACATGCCACTCACCGGTGGGTTGGTCTCCTCACTGAGGTGAGATGGCTGTTACTTCTATTTAAATTAAGGTAACTCTTTCTAAAGTGTTGCCTGTTACCACACGGAGGTTTATGCAAATCAGTGTCCTCTGATTTGGTGCTTAGGTGGCCAACCTGCACACCTGGGACTGGCGGGACAGTTAGCTCAGGACCTGTAGCAGGGAACCTGATGCTTTTCAGTGGGTTCAGGATGCAGGCATCCAGGACACTGAATCCGTGCTAAGGTTGTACAGGCCTCGGTGGTAAAAGGAACACAGATATTTCCAGCCCAAAGCTTAGTGGAAGACATGAATTCAGATTCTTGCCGGGTTAATCCTGGATGCATTGGTGTGGCTTGCCAGGCAAGCCACTCTGACCCCGTTCTCCAGTCAGTTACGGGGGTACAAACAGCTTACCTTTTTTGTAGAGAGTTGTTTGAAAGATTAAGATTTTTAAAGTGTGTTACAGAAATAATAAATAACATATAGGGAATCCAATTGTAACTTTTTTCTGGCTCCTGGTACTTTTAACAGCAGCCTCTTTCAACTCTTTGGTAGTAGGTTACATTTTTCCTCCACTCTCAGGCACTGGATGACACAAGTTGGGACTTTTTAAACTCACAGAATTATTATTATTAGCTCCTGGCTTTATTGTTAATTTTTTCATTTAAAATTTTGTATGTTAAAGGATTTACATTATTCTTTATTAGAAATGAGAGAAGAGCTTGCCACGAACGCTGTCTGAGCCACACCCTGCTGGCAAACCACTTCTAAGCCTTATTTATTTATTTATTTATTTACCCATCCATTGCCTCCTTCCCAGTGTTCACACCCAGCAGATGTCTTTACTTGCTTCAAATGCTAGGATTTATGATTGCTCTGGGCTTCAAGCAAGTCTCCAATAAAGGGATTAGAGACAGTTTGGCTACCGTCAGGAGCTGTTTCAGCAGCTTTTCTTACCAGCTGCAAGTGTGGGAAAAGGCTTAGAGCAGCCTTCAATTCATTAAAGCTGCAGCAAAGGAACCTCAGCAGAAGGGTGCATCCTGTCCCTACCTTCACTCACAAGAACACCCTTCTCAACTGCAGAGAGACCACTGTGATCACCCCTCTCCTGAGTCATTGGCCTCAGCTGCAGTGGGTTTACACAGCACCTACTTCATGTTGTAGCCATCTCACTACCATTTCACTGCTTCCAGTGTAGGTTTGAAGATGGCAAGAAAGGCCCAGTGCGATAGCAGGGCCCCTCGCTCGCTCCCGACTCCACCTTTCTTGTCTCTTACATAACTGCTGAATTCTAACACCAAGGCAGGCAGGCAGGCACCCGAATGCCCATGGGTGCCTTTGAAAGGCGGTCCTGCTGGGACATCCAGTCCCTTCAAACATCTGCCTCTGCAGCCCTCTCCCAAAAACTCACATGTGCAGAGCTCATCTTCGGGATGCTCCTTGTGCAGCTCAGTTGATCAAGTCCTGCGCAGAGATATGGGGAAAATGAACTGCCACTCCCTTGCCTTTAAATAGCCCAGCAGCAGAGATGTTGCAGCTCCACCAGCCAATGAAAAAAGCCTGCCTTCCTCTGCATCCTATCCGTTGCTGGAAGGGGAATGACTCCAGCGGCGCTGAAGAAGCCAGTGGAAAATAGTTTTATAATGAGTGGTTTTATTGTCCAAGTTCTGTTTAAAAATTTAAACGTAGCAATTGGCAGGCACAATCCGAGGCCCCTTTGTTGAAAAAGCCTACAGCAGCTAGACAAAGCAGAGCCAGGAGATGCAGAGAGATATTAATAACGGCCCTTATGAATGGACGGGAGGAACTCTTGCCCGGCCTCCTGCCCCCCAAAGCACTGAGCTGGAGGTGTTTTCCTGGGGCTAATTAACCCTAAGTTATCACAGGTCTGTCCACTGGGCAATGATGGGCGGGACTGTGGCTCAGGAGCAGAGGTCCCGGGTCTGATTGCCAGCATCCCCAGGCAGGGCTAGACATGAATCCTGCCTGAAGCCCTGGGGAGGCATGGCTGCCAGTCAGTGTTGACAGTTCTGGGCTAGATGGACCCAGGCTCTGGCTCAGACTGAATTGGCATTGTTGGGCATCTGCTGAGTCCATGCTCCAATATGCGGACCACTGCCAGGCCCTGCTGCCTTCTTGCTTTTCTGCTCTCCCCTTGGTTACAGCTGCGCATCCCCTTGCCCTCTCCAAATGAGAGCGCCAAGGCGGGAGTGGGGAGAAGCAGCAGTAGCTTCTGCACAGCTTGACACCTCCCTTTGAGAGGGGGCCAGAACGTAAGGAGAGCCAGGCTGGTTCAGAGCAGGGGTACCCCCTGGCCCAGCATTCTGCTCCCACAGCAGCCAGCCAGCAGCCCACAGGATCCCACAGGCAGGGCACAAGTGCCAGAACACCCTCCTGCCCAGGTTCCCCAACAACTGGTGCACAAAGGCACCCTGCCCCTGACCAGCACTCAGTCCTCAAGACTCGTAGCCGCTGCTAGCCTTCTCCATGAATTCGTCCAGTCCCCTTTGCAACCCGTCCCAATGGGTGCCCCTCACGGCTTCTTGTGGCAGTGAATCCCATAGTTTAGCCAAGTCCAGCCATCGAATCCAGCCACCCTGTGTTCCCTGGAGGAAAAGCAGGGGCATATCTACATATAATGTACAGAAGATAGCCAGAGAAAGGGACAGATGTAAGTAACTATGCATGGGCAACTTGCCAATGATGTCTGTTCACGTGTGTGTGTGTGTTTGTTTCGAAGATGGCTTACAAGGCCTTTCCCTTCTCTGCTTCATCCTTCTATGCCTCCAGAGGCACTATGGGGCAGACATGGACAAAGGGGGTGGGTAAGGCAACTCTTTTGCCCCCCCCCCCCCGTCTCCTTCCATGATTGCACACATGGTTGTAACTTCCCACACTGCTCTCCTTTCTTTTTAAAATGGGCAGCTTAGATATCCTCTTTCCCTCTTCAGATCATCTCCCCATCCCACCCACTTGGGAAGCCGCTAGGAAAAAATTAGAGGCACAGTTCAGGCCTGCCTGCTGGGTTTCACTCCTCCACATCAATTAGCATTTCTGAGTGGCAAGTCCGACTGGGACTGCAGCACAAGGGCGAAGTGTTAGACACCCCACCCCACCCCACCCCACCACACCCCCTGCTGCTGCTGCTGCTGCTGCTGCTGCTGCGGCCACTCCCACTGCTGTGCCACATCCCCTCTCCAAATTCACTGTTTTAAGAGAGAGAGAAAAACTGGGGGAGGATTTTATACACTTGTTTCTTTGTTATTCCTAGATTCCTGTATTCTGCCTTTTCTTCTTCCTCTCCATTTTTGTTCCCTTAACAGTCTTGTGACGTTAGGCTGAAAGTTAGCAACTGGCCCAAAATCACCCAGTAAACTTTATGGTGGAGTGGGGATGAGAACCCAGATCTTCTAAGCCTCAGCCCTACACTCTAACCACAACACCGACCCTTTCCTTAGCTACCTGCTCTCCATTCTTTACATTTAAAGAAGGAAAAGAAAGAAGTGGGGATCAGGAAACTGACGTCCCACATCATGCCAGGCTACATGCCAATGGCACAACTGTGTGCATACTGCCGTCATGTTACACACGCAGGCCTTACCCATATCCTGCAAATCAGTTCATTTGGAAAGATTCTTACCACCCCCGAACCTCCATGCAGCCAGGCAGACAGTAAGCAAACTCTCACCAGAATGAACCTTTCAAAAAGAACATTTCAATATTTAGCACAATGCTAGCAATGTTGCAAGGCCCTGTTTCCATTAAGTATGGGGCTGTCACATAGCAGTATGTAATTACAGTTGACAGCAATCGTAAGTAGCCATTCAGCAGAAATCAGCCACTTGCACCAGGTATTTGTCATATCTCTGGAAGAAAAAACCACTGCACTTCTACCATATTCCAAGGACAAAAGGGAAAGCCAGATGAACATACCTTTCCGTGGACTGGGCTCACGGTGGCCAGCAAGTATTTGCACGTGGTGGGTGTCCTTGTGCTGCCCATGTGCTGCTGGCAGTTGAATGGCTCAGCATTTACAGCACTGAAATTTGCACGGATAACTGAATCCAAGGGCCCTTTTTGCATCATCCTTTTCAGTAGGTGGCCGAGGCTTGACAGCACTGACTACCTGTTAGATGAGGTCATCTTTGCACGCAAGACTCTCTGCATCAGCACCAAGGTGAAAAATAAGAACTGCACCTTTTCAGCAGCTGTGCTATGGCAGTCTGTTGTGTGTAGAAAACATTGTGAAAAAGCAAACATTGTGTCGATAAAGCAAAAACGAATCTGGACACAGAAAAGGGAAGAAAGGTTTATTCAGAACAGACTGCAGACTGTGCACATAGAAGAGAGAGTCAGGAAAAGCCAAACTACTCTCTCTTTTGTAACAAAGACAATTAAGCTTATAGACATCCCATGACTATGTGTGTGCAGTGTCACAGTGGGGCAGTGTGTGAGAAGGTAAGTAAGCCAGGCTGAATGCAACTAAGGTCCATCTAGTCCAGCATGCTGTTCACGCAGCGGCTAGCCAGCTGCCCAGGGTAAGCCCCTCCCAGCCACATTGCCCACCACTCAATCCTGGAGGTAGCATTTAGCCATCCAGACTAATAACCACGGATAGTCTTCTCCTCCACCAGTTTGTCCAATCCTATTTCAAAGCCATCAAATTGGTGCTCATCACTACATCTTGTGGGGGTGAATTCCATTGTTCAACTGTGTGCTGTGCAAGGAAGCACTTCATTTTATCTGCCACGGATCAGCTTCACAGAATGACCCCCCACTAGGTTCTGGCATCAGGAGAGAGGGAGAAAAAGTCTCTCTATCCACTTTCCCCACACCATGCATAATTTCACTCTCCTTTATTGTGTCTCCACTTACTTGCCTTTTTTCTGAGCCAAACAACCCTGGATATTGTAAGCTTTCCTCACCGGGAAGTTGTTCCAGCCCCTTGATCAGTTTAGTTGCCCCTTTTTGCACTTTTTCTGATTCTGCAATATGGTTTCTTAGGTGTGGTGGCCAGAACTATACACAGTCTTCTAAGTTTGTATGAGTTAAGTATGATTGTAGCTGTTTGATTTTCAATCCCTTTCCTAATTATGCCTGACATGGAATCTGCTTTTCGTAAAGCAACCACACAAGGAGTCAGGATGTGCAGTGAGGCCTTTCTGCTGTCACTGAGGTTCCCTCCCTCAGTCTGTTCTGTCTGCAGCCACTGCAAAGTCACCTGGGGATGACTCATGCATTGCACAATATTGCCTGAAGGAGAGGTTGGGTCCGCTAGCTAGCTAGGCTGCAGCTCCCCGAGTTTGCCTGGCTCCTCGCGGGTGGTTGCGTGCAGCTTGGCGTGGGAGGCAGGTGGGTGCAAACGGGATGACCGAATGGTCTGCTGCCCTTCCCACACATTCTGCATTCTTGAATTTTGTTTGCTTGTATGAGACCAGTTGTGACTCATTCCAGAGAGAAGTAACTTTTGGGGGAAATTGAGAGAGGTATGAAAGTAACTTTTATGCGAAAGCTGCCTCATTCTCTGTAATTAAATCTGCACAGCAGAGAAAAACCAGGCTGCAGGCCAAGCGCCTGCTTTGGTGGTTTGTGGCTTTTCTTTTCTTTCCTTTTTTTCATCACAAGACAGGATGCAGCCCTTCCAACTGCTTCAGAAGAGAGAGCTTTCTTGCTCCCTGCCATGCTAGCTTCTACATGCTTTTATAGAAGCAAGATGAATATCTGTTCACATATTAACCCTCAAGCTGAAATGCCAGAATTTACTTTTCTCATAAAATCTTGCTAGCGGTTGTTCTGCTGGATAGATGGGATGGGAGTTGTATTCCAAAAAGATCTGGAAGACATCAGGCTGGGGAAGGCTGACACAGTTAAACGAAAGGGTAGGAGAACTTTGGTGGATGGTCCTGGTGTCCGAAAGGCATATCAGCCATTGTTCAGCAATGTTTCCCCATTATCATGGCACTAAATCTGATGTAGCTTTATAGCTGTTCGCATTATGAGGCCAGGGAAGCCTCTGAATTGCACCTAGTACCCCTATCTAAGTCCACTCGTTTGAATCACCTTCCCCCAACCTGGCACCCCCCGGTCGTTTTGGGACTGGAGCTTCTCTTACCTGCAGCCTGCACCACCCTTGTCAGGCCAGGATGATGGAAGGCACGATCCCAAGTGCTCCGTGCTCGCTGCACAGAAGCCTCTGCCACATCTTGCATCTCATGTTTCCTCTGGACAGTCGTCATGGTGTAAGCATCAGGCCCAGCTTCCTCCCTTCCCCTCCTTCAGCCCTCCCCATGGAGGATCCCCGACCTCACAGCCAGCCCAGTTCTTTTCGCACAAGGCAGAGTGGGGCTCCCTGTCCAGTGGAGTCCCAGCTCCACAGTCCGAGACTCTCAGAGGTAGGACTGCAAATAATCCCATGGTCCCCAGACAATGTCAGGAGGCCATAGGGCTGGGCCCTTCATTAATGTTTTCTGATCTAGTCAGTTTCACTCCTGGAGGAAATTAACGGGTGTGGGGGATGCTTTGAACGGTA